CTGGAATCGAGGAAGAGGGGCCGGAGCCAGCGGACGAGGGGGAGTCTGCAGCAAGTCTCGCAGCTGAGCGAGTGATTCTGGTGGACATGAGAAACTGAGCTTTTTATGGAAGTGGGTGTTCGGGAAGAGATGGGTGATAAAAGTGGGTTCAACAGGGTGGAAAGCAGAGCTCGTCCATGGGCGTCCGAGGCTTTGTCGCCAAGTCCTGACTTAGAAGACGGAGCAGAAAGGAGTGGGAGTAACGGGTATCGTGCGAAGGTAGCGGCGAGCAAACAGTTGATGAGAGGGGGAAAAGGTAGGCTATGATATGTACCTCAGGGAAGAAGAGGTGGCAATTGCGGGAGCTCCAGCGGATGAGTCCTCAGGGTCCTGGCGGTGTAGGCGGGGCCTTTGTCTGGCCATAAGTTGAATGACAACGAGAGCTTATCGTGGAAGGCTCGCTTGTCAGTCGATGCCGTTCAACATGCCATTCGAAAAGGGATGCCAAAGCCGGGTGGGAAGGCGAGACTGTTTCGATTGTTGGTGCGGTGGGATGGATGTACTAAGAGGCACCCAGCAGGCTGACCAAGAAGCGAAACCCAGAAAATCGAACGCTGAAAGGGTGTGTATCGAATAGATAGGTCCAGAGGCTTCAGGGGCACAAAAACGAGAAATCAAAAGGGATTGGGGAAGATGGAGATAGTTGTATGGAAAGAGAAGGTGATGATGGATGATGAGTTGAGGCTGGGAGTTGACGTGGTTGCGGTTGGTGACGCCGGCCTGAGGAAGCAAGTCCGGGGAGCGCCAGACAGCAGAAGCGCAACCGCAACTGCACACACACAGAGAGAGAGCCTATCTAGGTGAAAAGGGGCATTCTCGGGCTTATAATCTGAGCACGTTGTATTCGGCGTGAATATTTTAGGGTAATGTATTCGTATTTAGAGACTCACCCCTACCAGAAGTGCCATACTAGAAATAGGACTAGCAACGAAACTCTATTCGATAATAAGGGTCTGTCACGAGACCACCATCTCATTGTGATTTTCAGGGAAATTGTATGGAGTCCGATCTTCTAGATATATGAATCAAAATGTACACGGAATAAAATGTTACCCAGATTTGGTCCACCTCGTTGAGGGTTCTCGTACCACTGCAGTGACTCGTATTGCTCTCTACCTACATAGAGCTTGTAGCGGACAATGTGAGACAAGCTGAATCACTACAACTGAAATTATGAGCTTCTTAGATGGTAATAGTGCTATCAGGAACAAAAGCAATTGTAAAATTACCGCCGAGGAAATGGTTCTCATAGGTCACGCATCCTAATCACCAGTAAAACAGAGTTAATCATATACCTTCGAACCAACGGCTTAGTTACGTGCGAGGATACCTGCCAGATATTTCCCGCGGGGGTTGTTCCTCCAGACTCAAGATACGTCGACAGGTCCGATATTGTGCTGTCAGAGTTGGTCATTCCCATCAACTACCACTAAGAGTCTGCTACTGTAGGATAAGCACGAAAGCTGCAAACCGGCCCTATCCACGCAGCCAGAGCTTCAAGGGTGCACGGACCCGCCCTGAAGTGGAGTGAGGAAGATTGAGCTCTTTTCTCATTGTTTATCTCCTCAGATTATCAGTTATAAACTTGCGGCGCTGTGAGGCAGTTGGAAGGGTCATTTTGGAGATTCGCAGAAGGCTGGGTGCAAGGTTTGCTTGGTTGGCGAACACTTGAATCGCGAGAACCTAGGTTAGCCCAGATTAGTGGATATACAACATATCTGTGCCAGAACGGCAAATATCCTTATGCCATCCCTTCTGTAGAGATGTTGGAAAGTAGCAAACAGGATGCCCAACCCATGGATGTCGGGAGGGAGGGCTGCGACTGGGGTTTCTTTCCCTTCGGGCGTGATCTCATTGACGCCGGAATGATCGTTTCGCTGGGGGTAAAAGCCTGATAGTAGTCGAGATCTGTTCCTATGAGAGAATAATTTTGAAATTGAGGGTGATTTTCTTGTCACCGATGGCTGATGGTGGCATGTAGACCATCTTGTTGATGAGGGGAAGGGGAAGGGGAAGGATGCATGAAAACCGTGGATCACCCAAATAATGCCCCTTATACTTGCTGGAGCCTCGAGACGGTGCAAGGTTAGTCCCAATGACATGGTTACGCCGCTATTCATTCGAGTAGCTTATGGTGTGAATCCATATGCATTTCGCGTTGAACTTCCTTGGAGTAAGCCCACTCCGTTATCGGTGCGATGGCTTATCGCCGACTCCGTATTGTACCTCGGTCGGAGACATCGCAGATGATCATAATCACCTTAAGAAGACTTTCAATGATCTCGTATCAAGTTGCTGACTTTGGATGAGCTTTCTTAGCTGAACGTTGGATAACGAGTATGCTGTTCACTCGAAGCGGAACCCGAGTCCGAGTCATCTTCTCGAAATGTGAACAGCGTCCGGTGGTGCTTGCATCAACATCTCCGCGGTTGCCAGGAGAGAAGCCCAATAGTAGAGCACAGGGAACTGGAATTCCTTTATTTCCATTTGCTCCTACAATTCAAATGAAAGGGATGATAGATCTGCCGAGGTAATGACCATTACGAGAATAGTTGAGGTCGAAAGAGGCAGCCCTGAAACGGAGTAAATTGTAGGCATCCATCTGTGCCTAGAGACGGTGACGTAGGATGCTTATCAGAGAGGAGACCGCGCTGCCTAGAAAGAGACGGATGATTATTATCAGTAGAGAGGTATTAAGGAGGGACGGTTGGACTGATGTTCCCTCATATTCCCAAGATTTGTATGCGAATATTATTCTTACCGACGGCAGAAGATTGACTGGATGTTTCTTCGTGCCCTTTTCCGCCAGCCAACTGCTCTAAGATCAATGAGGTGATTCTCCGATTCACACCGATCGCCATCTTTGTCTTTTCTTCCCCTCTTCTCATCTTTCTTAACCCTTGCTTCCTCTGAAAAAAGTCTTGCCTACTACATCAACAATCAATCTCCTTCTTACTAAAACAACGACAATCTCATCAAAGAAAAACCGGGCTACAGAGAGGGTTTTCAGAAAGGGATATATAACATTCTTCCATCCTGCGTGGCCATCAGTCTCTTCTTCCTGCTCAATAAATTTTCTTCTTCCCCGCCTCCCCCACGCCGCCTGACTAAACAATCCAGTCCGCCCGCATTCATCCATCCTCGTTACATTCTCTAGTCCGCAACTCAAAACCATCCTCTTCCGATTTACTCCCATCGATTTGCCTCTCTTGCGCAACTTATAGCCTGCTCTCCTCCCGCGCGATCATTCATATCACCGCATATCGAAATCTCGGATTGCATCATGACAGACATGGTCGGAGGACAGAGCGACGATGTCCACCAGGTCCCGCCTCCTCTTCCACCGGCTCCTATGGAGAACTACACCTTTCCTGAACATCGTTTGAAGCGCAAGATGGACGACCCGGAGAAGACCCCTTTGCTTCTTGTGGCTTGCGGTTCCTTCTCCCCTATCACCTATTTGCATCTTCGCATGTTTGAAATGGCTGCCGATTACGTCAAATTCAGCACGGACTTTGAACTCATCGGTGGATATCTATCACCCGTCTCAGACGCGTATCGAAAGGCTGGTCTAGCCAGTGCGGAACATCGGTATGGAATCTAGCGGCTAATTTATCCGCTCGTTGAGATTGCTGACGCAACGTCTCTTATGACTCATCAGGGTTGCGATGTGCCAACTTGCGGTTGATCAGACATCGAATTGGTTGATGGTCGATACATGGGAGCCGATGCAGAAGGAGTATCAGCCAACTGCTGTTGTGCTTGATCATTTCGACCATGAGATCAACGTTGTACGGGAGGGCATTGATGCCGGAAATGGTACCCGGAAGCCCGTCCGGGTGGCCTTGCTCGCAGGCGCTGATCTCATCCATACCATGTCAACACCTGGCGTATGGAGTGAGAAGGATCTGGACCACATTCTGGGCAAATACGGTGTATGTTCAAATATAACGGACCTTTCTGCTCGGATTGATTCAGCTCACAGTCTTTTAGTCTTTCATTGTGGAACGCAGCGGCACCGATATCGACGAGGCTCTGGCAGCGTTGCAACCATGGAAGGACAACATCTACGTGATCCAGCAACTCATTCAGAACGATGTCAGCAGCACGAAGATTCGACTTTTCCTGCGACGCGAGATGAGCGTGCGCTATCTCATTCCCGTCCCAGTCATCCACTACATCGAACAGCACCATCTGTACGAGGACGACAGCACAACAGCCGCCTCGTCGTCAGCCGACAAAGGCAAGGAACCTTCGCAGCCAGGGAAATCAGGCTGAACTCCTAGGACGCCCCAAGATATTGCCGCATTTGTACTTTTATGAACCCTCCCAGACCTTGAGCTACACTATGATGCCAGCGACCGCGTGAAGCAAAGGGACGGCTTACTTGGTGACTTGACCTAGTCACTTTGGACGCCGATAAAGGGGGTTTCCTCTCGCATCTGTGTTCTGATATCCCGTCACCCCTATTGCATGGTCGCTTGCACCCGTCCTCCGTCCCGTCCGCGGCGCATGGACGAAACGTCATGAGTTCCCAAAAAGCCAACCGCTCGGGAACCCCGGTATCGAATTCAGCATGATCTTTTTTTTCAAGAGCATCAATGGCAGACCGCGGCACTACACAGGGCCCCGCCCCAGCCATTCGTGGGCCGGTGGCTCTCAGAAAACGACGCTCGCTGGCCCAGTTGTTTCGAGAGACCGGTTTCGGTATTTCACTTTACACAAAGAACATGATATAGAGTCTAGTTGCTTGTCTTATACCCCGTTTGAATGAACATAGACGAATGTAGAATTAATCAAAGCGCAAATTCATTACTACAGTCTATTTCCACGCCTGTCAGAGGTGACGCAAAACATGGCCTTGGCCTACATGCTCCTGTTGATGAAAATACCAATCACAAGTCGACCACAGTACAAGACATAGTGGCGCATGCATGGTTATGCATGGCTTGCATGAGGGTCTTTGATTTAGGATTTTTAGCATGTAAGCACAAGCATAATAGTCGGTGATATGCATAAAACAAGACAATTCCACCAAAGGAATTTATAGAGCAGCGTCTTGCATAATTGATAGGAAGCAAATACATCAGCTGGCATTCAAGTCATTAAGATCATCTATATGTACGTATACAAGTTCCCGTTCATAAGAGTGGTAAGTGGAATGAGAAACAATTCAACCACAGTCACCCCACACTTCCTCCGCCTCTACAACGCCAATACACTCCTCGGGATTCGCGTCGTGCATCATGGCAACTACCTTCACGCGGGAACCGCATGCAGAGTTGGCTTTCGCGATACGACGGCGGACTTCATCGACCGTGCTGGCGCCCGGGACACGAAGCCAGTCACTCCGGGTTACGGAGAAAGGGAGACCCAGGGCAGCCAGGGCGGAAGCGCTCATGTCGATGTTACTACTCTGCGAGAGGGAGCGGATATGGCTTGGTGGGATGAGCTCCGACAGGGAGAGGGCAACCCATGACTTGGCGTTGGGGTGCTGGATTGCTGTGAGCAAGACGTCGAGAAGACGGACCTCGTCAGCTGCGGAGACGGTGGGGATCTGGTCTAGGGGCACGATTAAGTCTGTGATAAGGCGTTGTCGTTGGCGGCTAGCCGGTCTCGGGAATGAGACGATCTCTGAGGAGGCGGTTGATCCGCTCTGAATATAGTCTGATGAGATGGAGGTAGTCGACATGCTAGAGGGTGTCAGGACGGCCGCGGCGGAGGCGGCTCCGATCGCGCCGCCGGGATGGAAACTCTTGAAGACCTCCGCAGGACCTCTACCGGGTGTATTATGTAGTCGTCGTGCTGTGGCGATAGCCAATGCGTCTCCCAACGCCAGCGCTACTGTCGTCGACGAAGTCGGAGCGCGGACACCGAGCGAGGACTCTTCATCCTCGTGGATCGGAGCGGGGAGGAGGATACCCGTGTCGGATGAATGAAAGGACAGGATCGGACAGGTATCCGGATGCATATGCGACGTGATGGCAATAACGGGTACAGTTGAGGGAATATGCGGCAGCAGAAGCAGAAGCTCCGGCGTGCGGCCGGAAAACGAAATCACCAAAAGGGTATCATGCTGCATGTGATGTTAGTAGGTCCATAACAATTTCCCACCTTAAATTCTCAAAAAAAAAAAAAAAAAAAAAAAAAAAAAAAAAGCCGCGAATATCCGTACCGGTCGAATCATTCCCAGATCGCCATGCAATGCTTCCGTCGGATGTAAAAATGCGCTGTGAATACCCATACTGTTCATCGTCGCCTCCAGCTTCTGTCCGATCTTGCCGCTCTTGCCCACGCCGCAGACGACCAATTTCCCGCCATTTCGGACGGTGCGGACGATCTGACTGACGGCCCGCGCAAGGTTCTCCTGCGCTAGCCGGTCCGTCTGGTAGATCTGCTCCAGGTTGGCGAGGGCCGCACGCTCTGTGGATATGACATGAATGGCTGTTGTAACCGCAGCGGCATCCTGGTGCATGGATGGCAGTCCATCCACCAGATCTGGAGGAGTCATGGGCAGGAGAGAGAAGCCATCGAGGACGGAGGTGGTGGACATCCTGTGAGGCGATAATGGCGTTCGGGGCTGTCGCAGCTTGGGGTGCCCCATGCTGTTCAATGGTCCATTATCGAAGGAGTGGACTGACGGGCGAGGATCTATCCGAAAAAAAGGGATACCCCCTAGATCGCCATTTCCGAACGACGAGGGGATTGAAAGAGAGAATAAATAGTAGCCGAGGGGGAGAAAATTCTTTGGTAACAAGCGGGGGGAGGGGAGGAAAGTGGAGGAAGAAGCCTTGGCCGCAGGGGGTTTGCTATCAGTATCTGGTCATCTCGGAGATCAATGTGGCCGAAGAGACGAAACTAGCGACGTTGAATGATTTTGAATCAGTAATAATAATACTAGTCAGACTCCAGCCAGATATGTTCCCGTCTCAGCGCGGGATTGGAGGACGAATTATCTTCGGAGGCGAAACAGCGGGAAGAGAGAGCACTAGCACTAAGGCGCAATCGCCTCCTCCGCCATCGCCATATCTGACTGTTTCCGTCGATCAACATCTCGATTTGTAAGAGGCATGGAGGAGTAGGTTGCAGAACGAAAGGTTACATTGATGTATGTTTGTTGTAGAATAGATAATACATCCTCAGATAGGAGTTATCGTACCAGAGTAAATAATACATTCCCGTAGAATTAACCTTCTATATCACAAGAAAAATAATACAGACACACAATTCACTTCGTCAAGGGCTTGATTCCCTTGTGAATCGCTGCAATCCCACCAGTGAGATTCTCGTATCCTCGGCCAGGAATCATAAATCCAGCCTTCTGAATCATAGCCCGGAACTCTTCCTGGCGGGGGAACTTCTCGATACTCTCGACAAGGTACTGGTAGCTATCCCGGTCGCCGGCGACAATCTGACCGATGAGCGGAATAGCGCTGAAGCTCCACTGCTTGTAGATAGCATTGAATAGACTGTTGTCCACCTTGCTAAACTCCATGCACGCAAAGACACCGCCAGGCTTCAGTACTCGGAACGCCTCCTCCAGCGCAGCCTGCTTATCCGTGAAGTTACGGATGCCGAAGACAACTGTATACAGGTCCACCGAGTTGTCCGGGATACTCGGCATGTGTTGCGCGTTGGCCTCCATGAAGGACAGTCGGGGAGTATTATAGTAGGGCGTGTCGATGCTGCGCTTCTTGCCCTCTGCCAGCATGTCGGGGTTGATATCGGCGATAGTCACCCGTGTCTGGTGGTCGTTGTTGATGTTGGTAGCGTGGTCAAGCATGCGGAATGCGATGTCGCCGGTCCCGCCGGCGATATCGAGGATATTCCAGCCTTTGCCGGTGGTGTCGTTGTCGCGAGATGGTAGCGCGGATCCGGGGTTCAGTGATCGTACAAAGTGATCTTTCCACAGCCGATGGATTCCGAGGGACATGAAATCGTTCATGGTGTCGTAGGAAGCTGCAACAGAGCTAAACACCGTCCGTACTGAGGCGCCTTGTTAGCATGCATCTTCTCCCTGGGAGGTTACTCCGCAAAAGTACAAATGGAAGCACAGTGCCTGACATACCCATAGATTCTTTCTGAGATTCAGGGACATTCTTGAAGCCGAAATGGGTCATCTGGTCGTCGTGATTCGACTTGCTATCTTGTACTCGCAGCGAGCAGGAGAAGCATCGGTACTGGCTCTGGGGAATTGTCACCCTTCGCTTTGCACTGTAGTGCAGACTCCTCCATAACGATCGGGATGACATGATGTGATGGTTTTTCAATGAATTGACCCCAGACGTGAGGTTGAAGTGAAATTCTTGAAGCCGAAGAAGATGTTGACGGTGTTACCCGGCTAGAGCAGCAGAGCTCCGAACACTGTTGGGCCACTTTTTCTGCCGGGGCCGGATTCTCACGCCGCTCTTATCAATCGGCCCATCATCGCTCCATTGAGCAACCATTTTTCGGGGAAAATAAATTTGTTAGGTGGAATTACAATGCTACCTAGCTAGAATAACCACTTGGACATTGTACTCTACTCATAAGAGATAGGTGGCTTGAATCATAGGGTTTCTTGTCCAAAGGCACCTCACCAAATGGAGATGAACCAAAACGTACAAGTACGGAGGCTAGCTTCTTCGAACTGAATATGAGTTGATACGACTATCTCAATTCTGTACTGAGCGGGTCTGATTTTCAGTCGATCCAATGCACCAGGCTAACGTGGCTATAAGCTGCTATAAGTCGCTAGTCCCTCACCTTCTGATCCCAGAGACTTCGCACTGTCACCCTCCGCACCCAATCATCTGTGACATTCCCTTCCTGGGCTACAAAGGAAACCTCCTTTCGAACCCCCGGAAGCAGTACAAAGGCATTCTCCTCAAAGTATCCTACTGCACCTGCCGGGTAGTCGAGCCAGGTGTAAAGGGAAACCCCTCCGGTAGCCTGAACCGTAAATTTCTTGCTTTCCGTGTTGTATGAAAGCTCGAGCTTTGGGTCCTTCAGGGAGAGGTCTTTGGGGAAGACTGGCGTGAAATGGTTCTGGTGGACAAATGCTTTTTTACTACTGGCGTTTGGAAGACGTCCGTCGCCAGAAAGAGACAGGATGAGAATGGAGTCTTTCAGATCCGGCAGAGAAAGCTCAGAGATATTGGCGGTGTAAATGTTGGTCGTGTTAAGGGCACCGACGGTGAAGTTGACAGTTTCGGGCGTGCCAGCATTGTTAGCAATGGACTTGCCTGACAGATCAAGCCAGGTCAGGTTCACGGTGCCCTGCGCAGGCTGCCACAAATCGGATGTCACATACACCTCCAAGCGACCAGTGGTGTAGTTCCAAAAAGGCGACACAATAATAGGCTGGTAGATGTCTCTGGCCACATAATGAAGAACCTTCCACCGGCCATCGTACTCGATTCCCGCCCAAGTCGGGGCTTGCCAGATGTCCTCTAACTGCCAGTACAGCGACCCTAGCTGACGCTCTGGCATTCCGCTGCCTCGGCGGTAGAACTGAATCTGGGACTTGTACATATCGGCTTGGAAGAGTTGCGTTGCATGGCACCAGGCGCTGAAGTTGGCAACAGAGTCGGATTTTCTGGGTACTGGATAGTATGCTTCCACGCCCATCGTCATTTCACCCATTCCTTTGGACGAATTCTTGAAGTTGTCAGTGAACAAGCCTCCGGCAGTGTAGTGATGGTTGCGGAGCATCACCACGCTGCTGTTGAAGTGAAGGTCTTCGGGGTCCACAGCTTGCTGCCATGTCTGCAGACTAGGCATACTGTGGAAACCGAATTCATTCGCAAACCGGCCGACGGGATAGTGATTATAATCGAAGGAGACGCTCGTGTCGTAGTTGTAGTAGTCCGTGTCGCCATAGTATGCGCCCGGAGTAGTGTTCGAGTACCTTTCTGCCATAGGCACAGGCGCAGAGAGATCGACATACAAGTACCCTTCAGTGGTGCTGCTGGGGCTGTATGTGATCGACCGTGTGTTCTCGTACACGAGGGGCAAAATCAGGCTGATGTATAACTTTTCGTACTCCCCAACGTACTTGGAATACCCCGTGGGATCCGCTCTCTTGACCATTGGGAGCATCAAGCTCTCGATTTCATTGCCGCCTGCCCACAAAGCTAGGGACGGGTGGTGATTTACTCGACGGACATTGTAGACCACCTCGGCTGCAACATTCTCGAAAAATGCATCATTAACAGGGTAAAGTGCGTCACTGAACTGAAACTCGCTCCAGAGCAAGATACCCCTTTCATCGGCGAGGTCATAGATAAAATCATGCAAATATGCACCAGAGGCCCAAACGCGAAGCATGTTCTGGTTTCCCGCCGTTACTGCATCAAACAATCGTGCCATTCTAGCTTGCGTCACCCGCGGCCAGAAGGCGTCCGGAGGTATAATGTTAGATCCTTTAGCATAGAACGCGTGTCCATTGATCTCAAAGTGCCAATTGGCGCCAGGTGCAATCCCCTGGGCCAGCTGGTCATCAGTGATATCCCTTTGGTTAAGGAAGATGGTACGAAAACCGGTCCTTCTGGTGACCCTGGCCAGGGCCTTTTTCTCATCATTCTGCACAGTGACGGTCACGTTGTACAGGTTCTGCTCGCCCATGCCAGTCGGCCACCATAGTTTCGGAGCATCCCCGTCGACGATCGTGGTCCCTGTAATGGATCTTCCAGACACCGTAACGTTTTGAAGGAGTCCTGAAGAAAGGACTGATCCCGTCGCAGCGTCTTTGATTTCGATCGACATGGAGGGTTTACAGGGCACAGCTCCTAAGAAGTCGATACTCGCATTGACAATCCATGGTTGGCTCTGGTCAGGGGGAAGATAATTGATCTGGCCTTGTCGGTAGATGTCTAGGTCAGTGTTGAGAACGTAGATTTCAGCGTGGTTGTCTTGAACAATGTATGCGGGCTTCCATGGTCCAGCTGGTGCAAAGGCAGGTCCCCAATCCCATCCAAAGTCCGATTGTTCCTTGCGGATAAACCAGCGGCTTGGGTACTCGTTGGTGATTTGTACACCAGGAGGCCATTCTGTAAAAGCGTGAGTTTCAATGCACAAATCAAGAATGACAGGATTGGTGCCGGGATCCCAGACCTTCCGCATCGGGGCCATTTGCAATCGCATTTGCGATATTTGGGGCGCTCCCGAAATTGATCCTAAGCACTGGATCTTGTTTACATTCTTTCAAGATCTGGGATACGTTGAAATGATATTGCCGGAACTGGTTATCTGTTGAACCAACTTGTTGGTCGCAGAACGTGATTGTTGCGAAAGTGTCCAGTCCATCAAAGACAAGCCATGTGGACTCGAAATTTTCGAGCCTGTGAAACATCAGCAGTCAGAACGACTGGATGAGAAATTGGTAAGTTTTTCACCGTGGGTACTCACAGGCCCTTGATCGGGTTGCTGGTATACGTCCAATTGGCATCAGCGATCCAGCGAAGGTTGAAATCATTCAGACCGTGATATCTGCGAAGGGGTGTTAGCTTAGGATTCTGCTTTCTATCCAGCACAAGTCAAACGCACGGATCATCTACACATATCGGTTAGATCATACAATTTCAATGAGAAGAGTCCCCATACCAATAACACCCGCCTTAAACAGGTCCAGATGCACTTGAGAAGGAAGATGACCTGGCACCGTTCTATTCAAGGCTGCGCTGCTAAGAGTCCAACCATCTCCACTCAAGTCCACAACATGCTGACTACCGGCAACCGAAGGTAACCTGGGCGTAAGCAATGCTAATACCGTCTCGGCTTTTACATGCATGACGACTAAACTGTGCTCAAATGCTCAGCCGTCTAAAGACAAACCGACTCCATCAGAGATTTCTTGATCTTGGACTCGAAACAAGGGCAGCTTTTATAGGATCCAGCGCAGACCGTCTTTCGGTGTTCAATCCGATATCAAATGTAATGAACAAGCATTCAGCCACTGGAATCTACCTGCTCTTTCGAGTGACGACAGGTCGATCAGTACCAGGAGGGGAAGACGGTGCTAGGGCCGTGTTGAATCAAGGTAGAAGGGATGGATTGGGGGGATCCAGAAATGATGCTTGTTTGAAGACGCTGATCAGCCCATCAATGCAACAGTATCTAATACAATGATGCAACCGTGCTGCGATGTAACCAGTAGATGGGCCAGACTGGGAGAATCACAGCAAGCGGGGGAAGAGAGGAGAAGATCGGCGCTGTGGGGGTGAAGGAGGCAAGGAGTTCATCCAAAAGACTGCGACACCGATATCTTATTGTTAGCATACTTGGAAGTATCTCGAAGTCTTTGATATTAACCTCTTAAGTACAATGATGACTCTGGTCGAGAGAAGAGGATGGTCCGAGCCAAGGGATAGCTGTCACCGATGTACTTGCTGTGTATGATGACTGAGATGACACAAGACTCAGGGAGAAACCTGCGAGGACAGTGTATTGTTGTCTACCATTAACGTACCATAGATATGATTCACTGCTATGATAGCCCAGAGGAAGCAGAAGCTAGCATGGGCTTACACTATTATTATTATTGCCGGAATGAAAGGATAAGGATTGTAATGCAGGATGGTTTAATGGAAGCGTCATTTGTCACTATATATAGAGTAACGGATCTGATAGTCTCCAGCACATTCATAACAAGCCGATAACCAACACAACATACCTTACCAATGCAATAGTTCTCTTCTTTTCTGCTTCCTATACGCAAGATAACTCTACCGCTAACCATTTCGTACATGGAGCCCTAGCCATGGGTAACCGTTCCCCCAGGTTCCACTTTCTGAAGGCGACAGATGCTGTTGAGATCAAACCAGAGCATTGAGATTGCCGAAGATCAACTGAAGGCATAAGTATAGGGATCCATAGGAACTGCTCTCATTGATTACATGAACAGATATATTCAACCCATTTTATACTTATCATTGTCGTCGGTAAAGTGCTGTACTATCCCCAAAGTCACGGCTAAGTGCGGGGATAGCATGACGTTGGGGCCGACGCCAACCGAGTCCCTCCGCATTTCCCCAGAATCATAAGAAATCAACACCTGTCGGTCCCTGGATCTGAAAAGGGTACTGTGATTCTTCCCTTCATCTCAATCAATGTGCTTCTGCTACATTGCAAAATTTCAATCATGTCGTTAAATCTTCTGGCCCGGTTACCGCGGCCGGCGCGCAGCCAGCGGACTCTCCTCCCTTCCGTCAAGCGATGGGGCAGTTCCATCTCCCAGCGGCCAGGATCGGATAGGTATTTGGAACACTCTCACATTCAATGGGATAGAGACAAATATGTCTAACAGAAATATGGCAACAGGGTCCGCTTTCCCGGCGCCGTCAACAGCAAATTCACCACGCAGATGGCCTTTATCAACCCTGCCGAGACGTCGAGTATCCCTACCTACCGAGTGATGAACTCCGACGGAGTGATGCTGGAGAAAGACCGGAAATCACTTAATGTCTCAAATGAGGAGATATTGACCTGGTACAAGAACATGCTTACTGGTGAGATACTATGCTCGTGTATTGATGGACGGTCACTGATGAAAACTAGTGAGCGTGATGGACCTGATCATGTTCGAGGCCCAGAGGCAAGGGCGTCTCAGCTTCTATATGGTACGAACACTGAGTCCAAATAGCCAACAAGTCTTAACACCAGCGCAGGTTTCCGCAGGAGAAGAGGGCATCAGCGTAGGCTCCGCAGCCGCCCTGACACCTGACGACGTCGTCTTCGCCCAGTACCGCGAAGCAGGCGTCTTCCAACAACGCGGCTTCACCCTCAAGGACTTCATGGGCCAACTCTTCGCCAACCGTAACGACAACGGCAGAGGCCGCAACATGCCCGTTCACTACGGCTCCAACTACCCCCGCACAGTAAGCACCCGCCCAACCAATTTGTCATTTATGACCCGATCTGACATAACACTGCAAAAAGCACACCATCTCCTCCCCCTCGCAACCCAGATCCCCCAAGCCTCCGGCGCCGCCTACGCCCTCAAACTCCAGGCCCTCCAAAACCCCGACACCCCGCCCCGCATCGTCGCCTGCTACTTCGGCGAGGGCGCCGCAAGCGAAGGCGACTTCCACGCCGGCCTGAACATCGCCGCCACACGATCCTGCCCCGTAGTCTTCATCTGCCGCAACAACGGCTACGCCATCTCGACCCCGACGCTGGAGCAATACCGCGGCGACGGTATCGCCAGCCGCGGCGTGGGCTACGGCATCGACACGATCCGCGTCGACGGGAATGACATCTTCGCCGTGTACGAGGCGATGCGGGAAGCGCGCCGTATCGCGCTCACGGACGGCGGTCGGCCGGTCCTTATCGAGGCGATGAGCTACCGTGTCTCGCACCACAGTACCAGCGACGATAGCTTCGCGTACCGGGCGCGGGTGGAGGTCGAGGACTGGAAACGCCGGGACAATCCGATTATTCGACTGCGGAAATGGTTGGAGAATGAAGGGCTGTGGAATGAGGATCTGGAGCAGGAGACGCGCGATCAGCTGCGCAAGGCTGTTCTGAAAGAATTTGGGGATGCGGAGCGTGAGAAGAAGCCTCCCATTCGGGCGGCATTCGAGGACGTGTATGACGAGTTGACGGAGGAGGCGCAGGAGCAGATGAAGGAGCTCAAGCGCATTCTTGAGACGTACCCCGACGAGTACGACCTCCGTCAATATGAAGATGGTATTAAAGGATTGTAGAAAGCTTGGACTGGTGGCATATTGTTCCCTTGACATATAGATCTGTGATACCCGCACTGGGTAATATGACTGATGAACATGATACAAGTGCCTGACTACAAGGTTTGAAGATCATAGCCCAGAGCATGCGTCCTCAAACTGGTTTTGGAAATTTCAAAAGAGTAATCAAATCGAGGTATCATAAGAATGGGGCAAGGGCAACGCACTCAAACGTACAAGAAGAAGAAATAAAATCAAACCCCCGCATAGCTTTTTATACTGTACAATCGCCATTCAATAGTGCCAAGAAGTGGACAACAGCCATCATAATCGTCTCATTATGCCAGGGGCAACCTATTCCATAGACATGCTAAACCTCCACAGTCGTAGCAAGAGCCTGCTGTGCAAGCTTCTTATTGCGCTTGAACAAGGCAGCGAGCTTTTTATCAATAGCATCTAGTTCCTTTCGCGAGCCTTCAAGGTCCTTCTGAGACTTGAGAGCAAACGAACGCAGCTCCTCATCAGTCATGCCAACAACATCGTCGAGGTCTGGAATAGTCCCCATAACCACGCCAGCAGCTCCAAGCATATGCTTTGCAGTAGCAGCTGCAAAAGACCGGACGGAAGCTGCCGTCGCGTTGGCCAATTCGGCAGTGCTCGCAATAGCCCAGTTATGGCTACGAGTACTGTCCGCCTCCATAGTCGACAGGACGTTTGGCGGAGCAGAGGCAGTTGACGAGACAGAAGCATCGGCGGCCGGCGGTGATCCAGAATGTGCTGCAGATGAAAGATTCGCTGTAGTCTCATCTACCCAGCAAATGTTGAAGTTCTCGGGAGTGGCGAAGAGCGCATCCAAACCTCCACCACGATTGGTCACGTCGGGTTCTGTAATAAATGCCGCCGGATATTCCTGGAAAGAATCGATTGCCCATCCAATGCTCTTTTCCAAGGCAAGATATCTGTTTTCTTCCTCAGGCGACAGGTGATGGAGGACACAACCGCGAGGCGTGATGAGGCAGCGGTCCTTCAGTTGGCTAGAAGAAGAATGGAGACGGACAGGCTCTCCACGAAGCAAGGCTTTGCGGTGCTCCTCGGTCAACTCGATAGGCTGCTTCAAAAGTTCGTAATCGTCAGATGTACACTTCATGTCATAGCGCTGACTGAGATTCGAAGGATTGAAGAGAGGGTGATTGTTTAGATCCAACTGGCCAGCCTTGTGCAGCTGAGCAAGCAAGACCTGCAATGGCGAAGTCCGTTCCAAAAACAGGTCTCTAATCGAGACGCCGCTTTGTTCGGAATCCTTGATCAGTTGTTCCAGTGTGTTCTTCGAGCGCCATGCCTCTGCTGGCTTCTTCTCGGATACGGGTTGCTTCTCCTCGACATGGGGCTTCGGAGGCTTCTCCTGCTTATTCTTCTTCGTCTCCTCAATCTTCGGTTCAACCTTCTCAGCCACAGCTTCAGGGCTGGGCTGACTGACTTGTGTGGGCTCAGGCGCATTGTCGGTGCTCGTGTTGGATGCATCGGCATTGCTTGTCGGAGCCTTCTTCGTCTTACGTTTCCTGCCGATGATGGGTGCTTGAACAGGCTCCTCCGAGACAGCCGTAACATCCTGTTTCTTAGCTTCGGCTTCCTTTGCCTTTTGTCGGCGTTCTTTCTTGGCTTGACTCTTAGTGATAGAGCGAACAGGTGCAGAGCCAATCCTAGAGGAAGCGGGAGGCGAATTGGCACGAGACGCAGACGCAGACGTGTACAGATCCGCTTCAGAGCCCAAATCACCGGGAGTGTCGGGTCGACTGAGCGAAGAAATGCTTGGCCGTCTGGAACGTGTCTTCAGAGTTGTCGGGAGAGAAGCGGCAGACTGAGAGGTGGAAGCGGGAGGCGGTGTCTCGGTCTTTGGGGTGTCGACCACGCGAAGAACCCGCGGCTGTCGAGGAACCGATGAGTCCGAAGCCCGGGAGATACCTGTCATAGGAGTATTTGGCCTTGACCCGACGGCGGAAACGGGAGCTGCAACATGGCTTGGAGGACCAATTTGAGCGGGAGATTCTGCTTTCGAAGTCGGAGTTTCTTGGGGCTGAGCTGGTGTGAAGTGTAGATCAAGCTTCATAGGCTTGGCCTTTGTCGATGGTTTCTTGTTAGGATGACTATTGTTGGTATCTCCATCTTTCGCACTCGGTCTCCTATCATCTGAACTTGCTGAAAGCTCGGCTTTAGCCTGTGATCGAGCTTTTTGTGCGGACTTTGGCACAGGGGAACCCAGGGAAATCTCCGAGATGTTCTTGAACTTGCTAGAAGGAGGAACGCTTTCGGGAGTTTCTTGAGGCTCTGGAGACGGCCGCTGAGATTCGATCTCGAAAAAGTTCTGAGATGGTGTTCCAGGCTTAGAACGTCCGATGTTGAGGCCAGGAGGTGGCATAGATATCGACAGAGACGGGCTCGACGGGTTCAAAGGACTCTGGAACAACGACGATGCCGGGTGAGCGTGTGGCAAAGGGAGACCGGGGGAAGTGTTGGGGTTCCAGCGCGAGCGGTGCCCTGAGCGTCACTGGGAAGGTGAGATCGAAGGAGGAAGCCAAAGCTGTCGACGGGGCGTTTGTCCTTGAGCGGAGTCCCTAGAGGCGGGAAATCTTCATCCACTACTTGCTCCGGTCAGTTCACTGAAATGCAACGTGGGTGAAAAGATGGGTATCGGAAAAATGAACGCGACATGATGCAGACAGTCGACTCTCCAGAGCAAGGGCAGAAGCAGATCAGACAAAATATACGAAGAACTGTGGGCATGACGATTACACAAAAAATTCCCCGGCTAGGTTGACCAGTCAGGCGCAGGGCAACGGTGTCTATATGAACAGTAATTGTGAGAATTTGACTTCAGATAGACGGCCCTGCTTCAGTTTACCAAAGTCAGGGCAGGGAGGTTAACGTACATGGAACCATGGCCAGACCGAGAGGACCTCACGACGCTGATAGATCAACCCAGCTTGGATGCAAAAAAAAGGAAAAGACAAAGTACGACAGCCACCAAGTCAATGTCGGCCAGAAGAAAATGAGATCTTCATGAAAATGCGACGTCACTCATCCGAGAGGATGCTGGTAATACGAGGAGAAACAGTAAAAAATAAAGGGAAGAAAATGACACATAAAGAACGCCGCCACAAATGTAACGCCAAAGGCATTCCGCCATAACTGCTTGCAATTTTCAGAGCCGATTGCCCAATGCTTCGTTGCAGGGTGTGTATCAGATCGCAAAGCCAGAGGTCAGACTCGGGAATCAAAAAAGGCAAATTCATATCCTGCACCACGTAAAAACGAAGAGGGAAATACGATATCATGTCATGTAAGGGAATAAGGAAGAAGATTAAAGCTCAAGCATCACGAGGAGAAAACAACGTGTAGGAGGAAAGAAGGCAAAGATGGTCATCACAACAAGAAAGACACGAATATGCGAGGAGAGGAAGACTGGAGAGCGACAAAAGGGAGAACGGTAATCACCAGCGGTTGAAACCGCCTCCATACATCATGGAGTGATTGTACCCACCTTGACCCTGACTCCCATATAGCGCTTGCCCAGCAGTGGTATTTGCGCCGACCTGGTGCATCCTCGCCTGCAAAATACTCGGGTCCGCAAGATCAACTACACCGCCTCCACCGGAGGAAGTGTTAGCATGTCTGTGCTTCTTCCCCTTCTTCTTCTGCTTCTGTGACCCAGCTTCGGAGAAAGTCCCCGTTTGGGAACCATAGAAAGAGCTGAGAAGGCCATTGGCAGGAGTCAGGGGAGGAGGGGTTTGGTGCTGTTGGAGAAAAGGAAACATGAACTCACGCTTAGCGGCCTCTTGCCCATGCAATCCACCAGCATTTGTGCCACTTCGACCTCGCAACAACTCGCGCATCAACTCTGGGTTGGCTTCCTGCTTGCCGACGTTGCCGCCCAAACCGAGGTTGGCATTCGTGGTAAATCCGTGACCTTGAGCAAACATGCCGCCTCCACTGATGGGAGGAGTACTAGCTGTCTTCAGACCGGGTGGTGGACCCTGAACCCCGCTAGTGTAGAAGTTGTTGGCGAGTCCGTGCTGAGGGCTAGGAGCTGCCAAAGGATTCGGCGTCCCGGACTGCATCAAACCAGCCTGCTGGCTGAGCATCCTGACGTTGGGAAGATTCTTTGGATTGGCATCATTGCTGAAAGAGAACCGCGAGGACTGGCGGTTCTGGGCCTGTAGGGCGTTGAACTGCGCCATTTGCGACTGGAGAAGACCTTGCCGAACTTGAGAGGCTTGATCCAGAACGGAGGAACCCAATCCACTTTGCAAGGGATCCACCAGGCCAGCCTGCTGGCTGCCGGCAGACTTGAGTAGCATCAGTTGCTGTTGCTGAAGCGGGGTTAAGCTACGACCGCCGAGGTTGAGTCCCGGGAACTGGTGACTAGCGGCCGACACGGGTGACCCAATCGCAGAATTCGTCGTGGTACCCTGCTGAGACGGCGGCTGAATAGCACCATGAGAGTCACGACCTCCACGGCCTCTTGGCGGGTGAGCGTCATCTGGTTCACCACCGAGTTGCAAACTTCCACTTTCTCGGCTTTCCTCCTCGGCTGCCGCATTTTGAAGAAGTTCCTGTTCTCTCTTCGCGCGCTCCTGCTCCGCCTTCTCCCGCATTGCTCGACGTTTGACGCCACCATATGGGTCGATGAACGAAGGATGGTTCTCAATAAGGGCAACTTCTTCTGTAGGAAGACCGGCTGCGGAGAAGATGAACCTGAAATCCGGGGACTTGACTGCCTTGAGTATATTTTCGAGGAGGGGTGCGATGGGGTCAGGCGGCGCCTGGGCCGACGTTTGAGGAGTGGCGGGGCGCGCTTCCGAAGGCGTCGGCGTCTGGCGTCGCTCCTGGGACTGCTTCTCGATCTTCTTGACTTCCTCTACCCCCTGTGCGACCGTGGCATGCACTGGACGAGGACTCTGGGAAGCTTGGCTGCCGGCTAGACTGGCTCGCCTGGTGCGGTTGATGGCACTATCTTTGTTTGCCCAACTGGCCGACGAGGGGAGAGCAGATCCGTCTGGTTGTCGCATGCCAGTAGCATCATCCTTACTGGCCTGTCTGCGCATTGGTTGAGAACTAGGTAGAGCCGAGGATCGAGCGACATGTGCAGGAATGGTGTGACTGGGTCCGCTGGGAATACCGTTGGGGCGCTGACTGGACAGTGTGTTCATCGAAGAAAGATCCTGTCGGCTATAACTGTCACTATCTTCGCCCGTCTCGTGCAGGAAAGTACAATTTCGATTATTGCACTGCTCATTGCGGAGAAACGACGAGCAATATTTGGTGGTCCCATATTGCGCCCTAAAATAGATAGTTAGCTGAGAGTTGCGAATAAACTAAAGGAGACATGAAAGGTTGGCCTACCTGAGTACACGGTCGCCATTGGTAGATCCGTCCACGGCAGCGATACAGGTTGCAGCATCCGCCTTGGTTGCATATGTCACGTAGACACCAATACCCTGGTTGGGATTGCCACCTGGTTTGGCCTTGCTGACGACGATTTTTTCGATCTCGCCGTATTGACCGAAATAATCCTTCCCGCGCAAAGTTTGAAGTAGTTGACTCTCGTCGCGTATTGTGGGGTTGAGGCCGATCACGTAAACCAAGTTTTTCTGTACGACCCTGACCCCCGCCAGGTTCTTCCGGCTGGAAGCCTCAATTTCGCGCTTTTCAGCTTCCTTCTTTTTTGCGGCGGCAGCCTTTCGATGTTTCAACGCCAAGTCTGCTTTGAACCTAGTGTGAAAATGGATCCGTTAGCGCCAAGAAATAGACATTTGGGCGAAGCGGAAGAAAGTGTAGCCAAAATGCGAAAATGTAATATACGTACTCGTCTGCATCAGGAACCTTGTATTGTATAGTGCTTTCATCATAAACGCGCCTGCAGTTGGGGCATCGGCCCTCTTCGCTATGGGTCTTGATGTTGTTGTAGCAAAATTGGCAGATCTGTATGGTCAACGGTTAGAATTTGCGCCAACGCACACCGTTAGGCAGCAAAGAGGGGAGCTATGCAAGGAGTAACACACCTGATAACCGCAAGGACATGGCTTAAAGTTCTTGTCGGAAAGATCAAATTCTTCAATGCAGAGGGGGCTAAGGTCGAGAGTTGTCAGCCAACCGCCGTATAACACCAGCGCTGGAAAGGACTTCAAACACACCAGAACTCATCGTCATCATCGATGACAGAATCTATTTGCGGGCGACTCGACATAGTGACCGTCCTTGTGAGAGTGTACTAATTGAGTACGTATGTGCAGATGGATGCGAAACCCCAATACCTATAAGCCGAAACCCGGAGAGAAGGGGGAAGGTAACAGAGGCGAAGAAACCGAGAAAAAAATGGATCGGCCGCTGGAAGGACAGTAAAGCGATAAGAAAAATCCAGAGGACTCTAGACAAGAAAGCAAAGATGTTGAGAAAGAGGAGAAGGAGAGGAAAGAAAACGTTGATTAGTGAGGAGCAGGACTTTTGCAGCAGCAGCAACAGAGAAAGAGAGAGTTTGAGGCGAAGAAAGAGAGAGCGAAGTTGGACGCGGAGCTGCCACATTGTGTTTGTCCTGTTTGGCCTGTTTGCATTCTTTCCGCCGGTTATGTCAGCCTGCACGTGACTGCATGATTCCCAGCAACCTCGAAGTCCTCTCCGGCCAGCTCCCTGTGGATGTCTCCGATTGCTTGAACCGCCCCTCCAACGCCTCAATTTCCTCTCCGGATCCGCCATTGTCCTTCCACTATGGCCTCTGCTCGCTCCTTGATGCGACTGGGCACTGGCCGCTCGCTGGCATCGGCTGTGAGGTCATCCCAGACATGCCGTGCCTTCTCGTCGACCGTGCAGCTCGCCTCCAAAGTTCCCGAGCCTGAGAATATGCGCCAAGCGCACCGTCCCCGTATGCAACTGACTAAAAAGAGAGGCCGAGCTTTCAATGACTGACTTTGAGTATAGCCCAAGGAGCTCTCCGCGCACCGGTCGTCAACCCCGCCGACAAGTACCAGGATAAAGCCGAGAGCCTGCACAAGTACGGCCAATATGTCATGTCCTGCCTGCCCAAATACGTCCAGCAATTCTCTGTGTGGAAGGACGAGCTCACAATCTACGTTCCTCCCACCGGCATCATCCCTGTGATGAGCTTCCTGAAATACCACACGGCGGCCGAGTTCACCCAGATCTCCGATATTACCGCGGTTGATTTCCCCACTCGTGACCAGCGCTTCGAGGTCGTCTACAATCTGCTCAGCGTCCGCTATAACTCCCGTATCCGTGTCAAGACTTATGCCGACGAGGCCAGCCCCGTGCCCAGTGTGACCAGTCTGTACGAAGGAGCTCTGTGGTACGAGCGTGAGGTCTACGACATGTTCGGTGTCTTCTTCAGCGGCCACCCCGATCTTCGCCGCATCATGACCGACTACGGTTTCGATGGACACCCTCTCCGCAAGGATTTCCCCTTGACCGGCTACACTGAGCTGCGCTACGATGAAGAGAAGAAGCGCATCGTCATTGAGCCCCTTGAGCTGACACAGGCTTTCCGGAACTTCGAGGGAGGCACCGCTGCTTGGGAGCCTGTTAGCTCTGGTGTTGACCGGAAACCTGACTCGGTACGTCTGGTACCTAACTCTTGTGAATGGATGAATACTAATATGATTCAATATAGTTCAAGCTCCCCACTCCCAAGCCGGAGGAGAAGAAGGAGGATGAAAAGAAATAGAGCTCCAGAATGTATCCGTATTTCCCTTTTCACGTTGTTTGTATGTACATACCGCGTATACGTCGAGGAATCTTTCGATTCGATGCCCGTTGAATGTAGCACCTTTAGTACTCCGTAGGTGCTAATAGTCCCTACTGAAATCCCCGCCATTGGACACAGATATTGCGCAGCAACCAGGTGAACCACAATCATTAATAACGATGGTATCAAATAAAAACCATCAGCAACATAGTAAGGTTATTTCTATATATAAATACATCAACTGCGTCAGAAACCTTTATGATGATGATGATGAAACCCAACCGCAATCGAAAAGCATAGAATCCACTTCTTGGCATTTATCCGCCGCAGAAAAAAAGAATCTCCGCATCCAACTAACTTTCCACTCCAACTCCTGCACCACATCTAATAACCACTCCTCCCAAGAGAACGAGACAAAATGCCAAAGCGCAAATTCTCTGATCTAAACGACCGACCCTCCGGGCCCGTCGACATCAAACTCGCGCGCCTAACCGCCAAATTCGACAACGGCGTGACCGCCTTATCGCGAGCCCTCAAGACCGCCCGGGCATTTGAGCGCCAGAAACTCGGCCGGCGAGAGAAGACCGCAAAGAGCGAGAATAAGCCCGAGGCGCTGACGAGAATCGAGGAGGAGATTAGAGTGATCAAGGTAGGTAATGCGATCGCGATGACTGTCTCTGCAACAGAGGGCGCAAGTGCGAAGGATTGACGGTGATGCTGATGCTGATGCTGACGCATGCGGACAGACTCTTAATTTCCAGGCCACGGCGGAGAAATACCTCTTCAAGCAGCTCGTCAAGACAAAGCGGATTGCCGAATCGCCTGTGTTTGTCAAGTTCAAGGAGCGGAAGAATATCTCTACGGAGGGGCCGCGGAGCACGGCTGAGGCGAATGTCACGGCTAGGCTTTACAAGTCGAATCCGGTGAAGAATGTCTTTCCGGGTATTATGGATGGGATCAGGCAGTTACTGGGATTGGAGGCTGCACCTGCAGGGAAAAAGAGTGGGTCAGAACAGAAGAAGGGGTCCGCCGACCAACGCAAGAGTGAAAGCAAAGAGCCAGAGACATCCTTAGATGGGAGATCAGAGCCGGAGGAAGGATCCGACGCAGACAGCCGAAAGTCTGCGCCCAAGGCCGCCGCGAGGTCCGCGAAGCTAGCTTCTGATGAAGCAGACGGAGAAGAAGGAAGCGACGTCGACATGGACGACGCCGACAGCGTAGACTACTCACACTTTGACGCACGGCTGGCCTCAGGCTCCGGTTCCGACAGCGACGGCGAAAGTGACGCCGAAGAAGCCTCACACTCGGACGACTCCAACATCTCTCGCTCCAACTCCCGCTCCCCTCCCCCGAACAACCCACGAAGAAATCCAAATCCAAAAAGGCCACCTCCACCCCAGCAACAAGCACAACCTTCCTCCCCTCGCTGACAATGGGAGGATACTTCTCCGGCTCCGAGTCCGAGCCCGAAGACCTCGAAGGCGCAGCGGGCCCACCACGCCGAAAGAACAGAATGGGGCAGCAGGCCCGCCGTGCCCTCTGGGAGAAGAAGTATGGGAGCGGAGCGAACCATATCAAGAAACAAAAGGAGAATGAGTGGAAGAATAGGGATAGTGGCTGGGATACGCGCCGGGGCGCTACGGGTGGCACTGAAGGGCCGAGAGGGAAGCGTGGGCTGGGTCAGGGTCGACCCTGGCAGAGGGATAGCAACTCCACCGGTGGTGACCGGCCGCAGCGTGGTCCTCCCGGCGGCTCCAACAAGAAGAATGTCAAGGATGATAAGCCGTTGCATCCTTCTTGGGAGGCGGCCAGGAAGGCCAAGGAGCAGAAGTCGATGGCGGCGTTCCAGGGAAAGAAGGTTACGTTCGATTAGCTTGCATATGCATATTGTCTCTTACGGATGAGAATATACCCTGCGAAGGAATTTCTGGGATTGTTTTGAGGTACATATAGCATTTGTTGATATGTTCAAAATAGGTATCATGCGTAAAATGCGCGGCTAATAGCCCGCTCAAGCTGTCGTTATTGCCTACGTCCATTATTCGCCCATGAACTGCATCCACCTCGTATCCGGTGGACATTGGGACGGCTTCATGTCACTCCCAAGGCCCTGTTGAGGGTCCGTCTCAAAACAGGGAATGGCAGTAAACTCGCCCAGTTCCTGCGGAAAGTTGGAGACAAAATGGTCGAATCCCAAAGGTGGCATTTGAGAGAAAGCATGCGGTGCGGAAAAGTCCGACGAGCCTGCAAGATCTGTGCTGGCGACATCGCCTTCCATGGCAGCATCGTTGCCTCCCTCCGTGCCGGTCATCGGTGTGACAGGTACAGCGGGGATCCCTGTGCCAGGGCGCGCCGGAGTATACTGTTCAGGGAACGTGACCGTTGTCCCTGGAGAGATCGGTCCGGTCTTCCATAGCATCTCCCAGTTCTTGAAGCGATCGTAGGCGGACTCGACGACACCGGCATTTCTTTGAGCCTGGGTTTCGCTCCACTCTTCGAGACGGCGGATGGCCCGCTCGAGTGCCTCGATCACGCTGACGGCGGACCTGGCCGAGCCCACTCCCATCGACATGATTTTGATCAGGGCCATGCCTTTTTCTAGCGCTTCGCGCAGCCGCTCTGTCCGCTTGGTCAAGCTCTGGGCTAGGATGACCAGCAGCGCGGCGCGGCAGGAGCTGAATTCGGTAAATGATGCTCGAGCAAGACCGGTTTCGTCACGGAGCAGTCGACAGAGATCGATGATCTCGAGTGCGGCCTCAACGCAGTCAGTGATGAGCGTTGACCAGTTTTTCGAGAGTCCGGATGTTGTCTTGAACGGTGGGCCTTGAAATCCAGCCGGGTTGGTGGACTTCATGTTGCTGAATAGGAATGGTCGCCCAATGAAGATTCTCGTTAAGCAGTAGTCAAGTTTCAAGTGTACATTCGAACGGAATAGGGGCCCCGAAGGGTTCAAGTCTCGACAATCGGTCTCCTCTGGTAAAGTAGCCCACCAGTCCAGCAGACTTTTTCTCAAACTGAGTAACCGCTCAAGGCAATCCAGCTGTTGACCTTTTCGAGATTTCCGCAACACGGATCTGCTAATGTCAGTGCTCGTCTGAGCGCTCAGAAATTAGGTTATACGCACATCTCGTTTGAAACTTCACCCAGTTTCAGAGTCAACTTGATCAATGTCACCATGTTCGTGTGATTGGACACTTGCCCCGTGGGCATCAGACCGGGAAAGTCGACCGGCATCGCGGCGTCAACATCTGCATCAGATAAAGAAACCGGTCTTCCGTGAAGGATACTAACGCGCCTGTTTTTGATGAGCATATTGCGGCTAGCCTGATGAAAGGAAAAATGGCCTACTTCTCTATGGTGTACGCCGTCCAAAAGACGCGGTTGCGGACCTCGATCATCCGCGGAGAGAGCCCCTCGCCCTGATACTTTCGATGCATACCGTTCTGAATAGCCATCTTTAGTGCTAGACCAAAGTATGTATAGCAGAGTCCAGATGTGTCGAGAGGTAGCAGGTATGTCCCTATCAGCAGACAGGCCTGCACACTTCGAACCGAGGCAGTGGCGATGATATCAGGAAGCAATTTCGACGCAAACTGGTAAAAGGTGAGCCCAACCTCATCTTCTGAGAAGTCGTGGTCATAGTTAATCGATGAGTCCGCCGATAGTCGATTGACAGGAGTGGCAGACTCCATGTGAGCAAACTGAGTCCCAACCGCCAGGACCATGAGAATGGAGCAAACTGAGCCAGCATCGTCGGATGAGAGGCTCGATGGGCTTGTATAACATGTGTGCATTTTTTCCAGTAGCCAGTCCTCTTCGACGTAGAAATTATTTGTCTGGGCGTACTTGAAGAAGATTTGAACCAGAAAATCTGCCACATACCGAGGCGGTAGACAGGTGATGGCTGCCGAGACCATCGAAGAGCCCGACTGTAGCTGTGTCGCTCGCCATCTCTCCTCAAATGGTTCCGCTTCGGTAGATGCCTGAACGATCAGCAGAAGTGAGACTGTAGGTAAACGTCAGTACATACCTCTGGGGCCGCAGCTTTCATCCATTCATCAATTTTCTTCCGAATCTTCATCGAGAAGTTCAAATATGAAAACTCTCCCGAGTATTCTATGCAACGATCAGTCAGCCTCTCTAACAAACCAATGGGAAGGTCCTATACATACGTGTCGTATTATCAGGTAAAGCCTTGATCATAAAATCCTCATCTTCAATCGCAAGATCCTCAAGGTCCTCGCCCTCGACACGAGTCGAGGGGACATCAGACTCGGAGCCTCGGTGCTTACTCTTCAGCTCCTCAGCAGCCTTTCGCAACGTCGGAATGTCAAAGGAGATGTTGGGCACATAGTACTCTAGAATGCGCTCCATGAGTCGGATCCGCTCCCCTTCAGCAATATCGTGACGGCTGAGGCCAGCGGTGCGCTCCAAAAGGCTGACGTACACGATGAGTTTCCGGCACCTAGAAAAAGGATTGCGATTGTCTAAGGATAATCAAACTTACGAGACCGACGATGAGCGAGCAAGTTTCTCTGCATGATCGGGGTGAGTAAAGACACACTGTCGCCGATAGCGCAGACACCGCCGACAGGGCACGCCTCCCTCGCACTTCTCCTTGACTCGACGACAACCATCGCATCTGCGAAGGTCAATTTATCTGTAATCTCTCAAAATGCAGTAACGTAACAAACGAAATGTAGCATTATAGGGGTCATGAAAGACGGGTCACGGGAACTTACGCTCTCACAGCTCTTTTGCGGTTTTCCTCCGAAACGCGGGGACGTTTTGGATTTCCCAGAGATGCCGGGGTAGAAACATCCATGACAGTCTTGAAATTATGGAATCAAGGAGGATGATGGATAAGCATTGTCTTTCCCTCAGGAGCAGTACGAATGAAGGGCAGATCCTAGTTTACTTCCACCAGTCCAAGTGATGTCGAACCGAGTGCTTAGCTGGGGGGAAAAGCCGATCGGCCGGGGCGGTGTCTGCTAGTTTTCTCCGGCAGTGGGGGATATTATTAAGGTCTTGTGCTCCCAGCTGAATAGAGACGTAGATAATCCGATAAGCAAATGCGCAATTCCCCACAGTTCGACGTAGTATTGCATCAGTACAGGGGTATGACTCTCTACAGCCTCATTATAATGGTCGTGGTCACGTCTGAAATAGAGAGGTATATCTATCTGTGCTCTACACGGCAATGCCTGTTTGAGTGCGGAAGACATTGTCATTGATTCGTGCCTCAGGCACACAATCTATATAAATATATACTGACCATACTACCTTGCCTATTCCTGCTCATCCTGTTCATATGTCTAGAGAGGAGAAAATACATGCTAGAGAACCATCAGAAACCATCCACATTCATCCCCAGTCCCTGCTCGACACCAATATCCAACAGCTTCTTCCCAATCACCAGATCCATAATCCCCATACCCACGCACTTGAAAACCACATTACGCCCTCCGGCACCACAACCGGCTCCGACCTCCCCAACTTCCCAAACAACTCCCCAATCTCAACCAACTGCTCCCCTCGTACCTGCGCCTTGATCAGCTCCCCAGATTCCTCCAGACAAGCCTCCCGAGAATCAACATAGATCTGCCCACCACCCGAGAGGATCGTCTCGGTATCGACCTCACACATATGCGGCTTGTACGACCCAATCAGCGAAATAAACCGCTGTTTAGGCGGAGTCGCAGACTCAGATGTAGATGCAGACGAAAGATACCCGTAGGGAAAATTGGGCTCCGTAGACGGTGTACAGCTAAAGATGACATCGCACGAGGCGACCTCCGCGCGCAGCCGTGCCTCGTACTCTGCATCATCAGACCCCTCCCTAGCCAGCGTAGCGAATACGATATCCGGATGCGAGGCTCTCAACTCTGCGATCACCTCCGTCTCCAGCTCCTCCAGCCGCCTGCGACCCCGATTGATGAAGGTGATTCGCCGCACCAGCCGCGGAACAAGCAGCAGCGCCAGCCGAGCGTGCCACTCTGCTTGACGGCCCGAGCCGAAAATCACGATGTGCTTCTTAGCGATAGACGTGCAGCGCGTAAACAGCGTCATGGTTGCGAGGGCCGTGCGAAAGGCTGTGATTTCTGCGGCGCTGAGGAGGCCGAGGAGCCGGCCCTCCGGCGAGAAGATGTTGATCACCCCGATGATGCCTTCGCTCTGCGAGGCAGTGACAATCTTGATGCCTGTGCTGGCTGTGTTGGAGACGGGCATGAAGAGCGATAGGTTGTTGTCTTTGGTGGTGATGGTGGTGCGGAGGGGTTGATGGATGAGTCGCTCCCCTTCTGGTTTTGTGGTCTCTGATGAGACGGTTACAAGTGCTTCGTTCAGAGCGTCGAGTAAGATGTGGCATTGGTCTGGAGTTAGGTTTCTCAGAATGCGAGAGACGTGTGGTTCGGAGAGAAGATGCATCTTGGAGGAACCACGAAGTAGATGTCTGGGCCTCGAGATTGAAATAATGTATTCTGTAACCGCAGGAAGCTGTGTTTTCTCGTTAATATGAAGTCACTTGTACTTGTAGACCCTACTTTATAGAGTCACAGAATGACTGCCCGTCCCACTGATATCATACGGCGATGTCGGAGGTGGAGTTATTGTTTAGCTGCATGTCGGATGAAGTCCACATAGTGGCCGGTCCTAACCGAGTATCTAACCAAGTCCCCTTTAAATGGGTTATTGATGCTCAATGTGGTCCATTTATTCTACTACGGGTACATCCGACCCCGGGGTTCTTCCTCAAACGATCAAGAAGCATTCATAGAGGTAAGATTGCAGACCGAGTCTAATAAAAACTTGAAAAATGCTAAGGTCGTCTATATCAACAGCAATGAATTATCCACTTGCAAGCTTACAATTTCAGCAGGTATATGAACCAGTCTGTATCAATATCCAGCCACGGGTTCTTCAGGAGTATATTTCTCACAGTGGTCCGGTGTTGGTCCTGCTGCTCAGGACTTTTCTCACTGTTCTCATACCAGTCTTTTGCTCGACGCAGGTGTTTTTCGGCGAGAACGGCCAACGCCAGCCGGTACAGTAGGGCCTGGATGTCGGGTGGTGGTGAGTAGTCAGTCTGTTGAAGCATCGCTACCGACGTGTCCCAATCTTCCGAGGCGATAGCCTGCATCCACGATTGCCACCAGGTAAACCGCCAGGGGAAATTCGTGTCTAATCCATTGTCCACGTGGAGGATCATTTTTGCAAGCTTGGATCCCAGCCAGGGATTTTTTCGAACGGCCACATATATGGGAAAATTCCCGGCCGCATCGGGGATCAGTGGATTTGCTCCGCGACTGAGAAGGAATGCCAGCACCGTGTAGACGTCGTCTACCAGCCGCCTTTTCCTCAAGAGCAGCATCAGAGGCGATTGCTGAGCCATGTTGAGGTGATTGACATCCGCGCCCCTTTCCACCACGATCTGGAGTAATTCGTAGATTGAAGGATCATAGCACCAAGCACCCAGGAACCTAATGAGCTCATGGACACATGTCTCGCCTATGCTGTTGACTCTCGCAACATCTAATTTCTTACATATCAAGGTTGCAAGCCGGGTGTCACATTTCTGGGAGGTAGAGCGAGTCTCATAGCAGTAGTGCAAGAAGTATGTCAGTAGACGCTGAGAGTTCGGCCCGATCGTGACATCCGGATCAGCACCATTGCCTAGAAAGCTCCTGAACAATTCGTTGAGGTGGCTGTTAACGTCAGCCCAAGCAATGTATGAATTTGCGAGGAAGAGCTTAAACAGAGATGTTATCTTCTCAGTTGTGAGATCAGCGGCCTTGGCCGTCAGCATTTTGTCAACATGGCGTCCATGATCCCAGCTCATGGTCGGTGAAACGAGTTCCACAGCCTTCTGTATCGGAGTCACACCAAGATTGTTGGGGATATAAGGCTTGGCCCCGGCTTTCAGAAGACGGGTCACAATGCTCCTTTCATGATCATGGTTTAAGCTTCTTGCTGAAATGGCCAGATGCAGAGGGGTATTTCCGTCCGCATTTCGATGGTCAAGCGTGATTCGAGCAAGGTCTTGCTTGACCATGGGCTCGATTTTTCCCATGCGATAGCCGAGTAGGAATCTGACAATCTTCTCGTCCTGATGGTCAGCAGTGTAATGCACTGGCAAGTTGCCCATCCGATCCGGAACATTAATTGCTGCGCCTCGGCTCAGCAATGCTTTCACCTCGTTTGCTTGTTCGTTCATGACAGCTTGATGGAGCTTTGTGTAGCCCCATTCGTCTTGTAAGTTGAAGAAGAAGTTCGCAAAAGTCTGGTCAATCACAGACAGGGGCTCTCCGATCTCAGGATGGCCAGATGCATGGGCCCCAGGACTAGTAGGGTATGCCACGGTTGTGCTCGGTGCGAAGGAGACGAAGTGGTTAGCCTGCGAGTACCTGGAAGCGGAGCCTTTGATGAGCATGTTGTCCCTAGTCGAAGACGTCTATTGGACTCTCACCTCGGACGTGCGTGATCGCTGAGCGGTGATAACGTAGTATCATCGTCAGCAACCGGCATCCGTTGGTCGATTGGCAATCCCCGTGGCAATGCACCAATGTTTCCAGCCCGTCTCCTAGTCTTTCTAAAGCCCCAACGCTTGAAACAGTTCTTGTACGACCGTCTTCTGCTCTCTTGTCAGCCGCGGAATATCGACCTGAGAGGCATCCACTGTACTTACGACTTGTGAAATCCCCGTCTCCGCATCTCCAACATTACCTCGGTACAGGTCAGATCTTGCTCCAGGTAGAGCTGTCTGATATCGTCCTTGACCTCCTCCCAATCTCTTGTCATGGCCGGCAAAGTGTCGACAGACTCGAGTCTCCAAAAAAAGGGAAAAAGAAGGACAACGATCAGAAAAGGACCCAAAGCTCGTAGCTAAACTGCCAAACGCGGTGCGGCGTGTGCCTTCTCAAAAGACGACTCGAAACAAGAAGGGAGATACCGCAGAGGACAAACATGACTGGAAAGAATAAGTAGTATAACTGATAACTTCAGGGAGGGAGCAGCCGCAATAAATGAGAAATTCCATGGCCTCATTCTCTTCATTCAGGCCCTCGTCTGACGACACATCCATCTAGTCAACAATTGAAGGGGGCTTCTTTCGAAGGGCAGCACAGCCTGATGCCTGCACTATCCTCCCCAGTAAGTACTCCCAAATCTTATTCTCATCTTCGTGATGAAGATCACCGATTGGCAGTAAGCTTTGAGCTTTGTCTTTTAATTAATCAAATTAATCAATGTTCGGCTTCCAGATAGTGTCGCCCGCGGTGCAAAAGTACTGTACATAATCGAAAGAGGGCAGGCTTCCAAAACGATGCAATAAGGCGTGGACTGTCGATGTCGGCAGATGTTTTTCGGGAGCAGAACAGAAGTACCCTGCAGTTGTCAGCTGTGGTCCTTGTGAATAATAATAATAGTACTCCGTATTTACTGGACAACTGGGCCAGGATCCAGAAGCCGCCCAGCGGAGGCAGAAGACAAAAGTACCATACTCTATGCTAGCGGTGTAGCCAGTGAGAGTGTATCAGGCTGTAGATTGTGACAACTGAGAGAAAGTACGTAGAGGAGTGGTCCGAGCCGACAAGGGTATGACAGAAGGGTGGAAAAAGGGCAATCTCCGATGGTCAGGATGCGTTGGCAAACGCTAACGGCGGTTGCGATGATGATGGACATGGGTCTCTACGAGAGTTCAGAAGGGCAATTCCCAACAGGCCAGGTCCGTACTTTTGTCATTTGCATATCCTTTCTGGTCCTATCTTTCTTTTTTCCAGTTTTATTTCCTTGATTCTTCCCTGGTCTTCATGCACCTATAGGCGCTTGACGTATTGCTGGGATCCTTCCTAGGATGGGTTGCCCCAATTATGGAGAGGAGAAAGGTACCATCATCAGGCGGTTCGTTTACGCCGGAGAGTGCAGAAAGTGATCCTTTTCTTTTTCTCTTTCTTTTTCTTTCTAGAAATCGTTATCATTAATCGATGAAACAAGCTAAAGATAAACCACTAACGCCATCTAAATGCATTTTCGCCAGCACGACATTCACAGGATCACGCAAAAGAAAAAACAATATGCATAACAGCATGCAACAGAAATTTCAGCCAACCGCAGCATGGTATCAGAAGTACGAAAGAAAACACAACAGGATGACGATCAGCTGCTCAGACGGAAAGCCTGGCGGGCTCTGCGCTTGAGTTCAGCAAACATGGCCTCCTGCGACTGCTTGGTGCGCCCGACGGCCTCGGTGTTCTCGACGGCCCGTCTGAGCAGGAATCCCATGCATTCCTTGACGGAACCCCAGGTGAGAAGCTTGTACACGTTAGGCGATTCCACGAACGAGTTCTTGCCAGTGGGCTCGGAGCTCTGGAAACCTTCCAACAGCTCACAGCTGACTTCGTCCGCCATGCCCTGAAGCTGAGCGTACGAGAGATCCACGCCCTTGTCCTCACCCTTGCTTGCTTGCTGGAGACGCAGCGCGTGTGCCTTGCGGACAGAATCACGGTTGTGTGTGGCGATGATAACGTTAACGGGGGGCAGCTCGGTCTGGTGTTCCCCGGACGCGGGCTTGAGCATGGAGTTGTACCGTCTGGTGAGGAGGGCTTCGACAACGCCGTCGTAGCAAGCATCGGTCTCCTCTTTCGTCGACCAGATCAAATGGCGAGGCTCGGTCTTGAGATAGGCTCCACGGACCAGCTTCACACCGAGGGTGTAACCTTCCTGACGAGCGATCTCCAGGTGCTCCGCGAGAGTGGTGGGGGTCGAACACAAATAGGCCTGGTAGGTGTTGTAGAAGATGGCACGGCCAGGTGTCTGCGAATTGCAGTACTTCTGATACTTCATGGTCCAGTTCTCGATTCCGGGCTGCACTGCCTGCTCCTCGGCATCGACGAGCAAACGAACATTACGGGAAATAGCCAAGTCACAAACTCGCTGAATAGCTTCGTCCATGAAGGGAGAGGGGGCGGCCTTCTTCTGCAGGAGGTCCAACGCCTGGACACCCATACCAGTGAATCTTATGACAGTTAGTTGATCGGCTCAAATTATCTCTATAGGGAAATCAAAGAGGAAACATACTTCAGAGCGACGAAATCGCCTTCCTGTGCCATGTCCACGGTCTGCAGCGTTCCGTCCAACCACGTCTGAACCTCTTCACGAGCGGCCTTTTCATCACGAGGGCTGACGTTGCTCTCACCAACCAAGACCTCCTTGGCGTAACCCAAAAGGACGCCTCGGTATCCGAGATTCTTAATAGCGTGAATGGACTGCTGAACTTCCAATTTGTTTTCTCCGGCATTGAACTGCTTGTAGATCGTGTGCTTGACGAGCATGTTCAGCAGAGGGTTTTTGGCGACGTCGAGAAGAGGTGTTTTGGGATGCGCCAACATTGAAAGGGTATAGATGCATGGCTTCAGTAGAAGTGAGGATGAAGAAACAGAGAGGATCATCAAGGACCGCAGCACAGATGAGAGAGGCAGTTTTGCGAGCGGCGAGGTTGCCTCCTTCTTTGGGGATGGAACAGCTTGATGCAACAGGCTAGTAGCCGGTGTCGCTGCGATGGATGATTTCGCATTGCTCGTGCCGCTGACGTATCGGGGAGTAGGATAAGTCGTGGGCATGCAAGACAGAGCCCGCAAAGGACGGCGGGATGCCTTCATTGTTGGGGTTGATAAGGTGGCGGGACTTGAGCAATAAACCCTAGGATGAGCGACGAGTATATGCTGAGGTATTGATGGATGATAATCAAGTAGTTTGAATAAGGATGAGGATGTCGATGAGTTTAGTAGTCGTGATACTGAGGAAATAATAGACGAGTTATTGTCCTTAAAGACACTACTTGTTGCCGAAAGAGAGTGAGTGTATAGCCGGTGGAAACCGCCTGAAAGCCGGGACGGTCAGTAATATTATTCCTTTGGAAAGAGGACATGCAGAGTGGCGCCGTCTGCCAGCGGCAGTGATAAAGATTGATAATATCTTGGATCCACCCATAGAACAGGATCGACCACTAGTCCTGTATGCCCTTGAATAAGTTACCACTACGACGGAATGACGATTAAGCTTGATCTCCTGTTTGATATTGACTGTTCTACTATAGGATACGATAACCATAAAGATTGACGACTTAAGCATGTGTAAGTCTGTATTTGGGACGAGCAGCAAGCCTCAGTCTGTGTCAGTGGCCAATGTCGACAAGCTGACATCAAGCAGTCCAGGACTCGATCCAATCTGGGAATGATAATCAATCTTAGGACAACCGGTTCGCGGGCCGGCCACTGTGTCTCCACATTAAACTGGCCGCTTGACCGGGCCGGTCACTTTTGCTGGTTGCTGGAATGCGAAAGAACGCGTGACCGTGAGCAGGTGACCTCGGACTCCCATTAATCTAGCTTGACTAAGGTAAGGTAATATAACCTTATGATCACTTTGTGCAGGCTTGCAGCCCAGGTTACACAATCAAGCAATCCTACCTCATCCTGCCAAGTCGCGTGACTTGAGGAACGAACGAGAAGACCGATGTTAGCCGGGTCCTGGGTGCCTTGTCTTTAAGGCATACACCCCATTCAGCATGGAAACCAATCGAATATAGCCTAGCGCAGCTTGACTAAACAGGTATTTGATCACGTGCCTCATATCGGCCAATTAGCATACTGGGATATAGATCCTTATAGGTCAAGCTTTTCTAGAACAAAAGATTTCGACAGGGAAAAATTGCAGGCCTTCTGAAAGCCGAGAAATGGTCGTTAGGTAGTTCTCGTTATTAACAGCTTTACCATTGTGGGTATGTGCCAGTTTCTGGTCGGTCGAGGCTTCCAGGGCTCCAGACTTTCCAGCATCTCCATGCATCACGGAGAAAAACCTAGATTTTCCAGAGAGGATCATATCCATTCCGACATGTCGACTGGAAGGAACACTTCTTCTTTCTGTGCCAACATTCCAATGTTGATGATCACCTCGGCTTCTTTAGCGTGGCAGCCACACTGTCACGGACCCTGAGCCGTCAACCCCACAATTCTCTCGTTCGATGTACTTTTCAGGCCGATAATGCTAGGTTCTGGAAGCCTCATCCGAACACTCATAAATTCAAATGTACTCGTACTTGTCTTTGCTTTGCCTGGCTTCAATATGAGCACTCCTTAGCGCAAGGGCCCCGAGGAGGCTAGAATCGAAAGGCCGCCCTTGGACGAATATGACTACGGAGATCCAAAGGGCTTGGAGACAAAATGGAACCAACAGGGATACGCAACGAGGCTTGTCGTCAAGACAGCTCCAGCTTATTGTTGGGTCCCAAGCCACTCTCTCAATGGTCGGTCGTGGAGAGAGTCTGGTAGTAGCTAGCATGATTCATTTAGGGAATGTTGCAGTATACCGCTCTATATGTTATAGAGTCATATAGACTGTTCTGATAGAATTCGAGTTAGCACTCAATACAGTACCCAGTTTATAGAATATAGAACCCCACCTCCGCAACGCGGAGAAGTTGCCGGTGGTGTCGCCGTGACTATGATTAATCTCATTAGTTATTTAGACATGTAATTTGGAGTTATCAATCTCTGCAGAATGGATAACATAGATATTATCTACTTGATATCCTCTGGAAAATATCTATCTATAGGGTAATGGAAATCTCTCGGCTGCCTGTACCGGGGACATTTGACAGTATTATCCGGCCCGGTTTAGGCGTGTCCCACCCGGAATGCGTACCGGACCATACAGTTACGCCGTACCTACAGCTAGCCGGCAGCAATTCCTCCGACAGAAAAAGTGGTATTACCATTACCATCGATCAGCTTCCGTGACGCCACTGGCGACAATGCGGCCCTTCGTGAGGGGAATAAAGCGAAGAATTTGGAGAATGAATCCATGTCACTGTAATGTATGGTAAGCATGCTGACTGATCGCCTTCTCCATCTCTGACTGGCTCGTTCCACCGACCTTAGCCGGTCCCTCGCTTTAAAGGTACTGGAGCTTCCCCGCGCTGCCTTTCGACTTGTTTCCTTTGCTTCATTTTCATCTTTCCTTACCCTTTTTCTGCTTGTGAATTTTCTTGATCTTATTGCTGGCAGTATCAAGGAACTTCAAAAAAAAAAAAAATGCATTCCTCATTGCTCCCGCGCATGCGAGCGCAGCAATTCGCAAAATGCCGTCCTCTTACTAGCAGCTTTGTTCGTCCTAGTAGGGCGATGGGCACGTATGCTACTTTCAAAGTGCCTCGCATCGACAATGAACCTAACGTGAGTTTTTCGACTCTTGTGCACTCGAGAAATCAATTTTAACGGTCAATAGAAACACTATGTCCCTGGTTCCCCTGATCGCAAAGCTCTGGAAGATGCCCTGGCCAAGGCCAAACAGTCTGCTCCTCTTAACGTACCGCTTGTGATTGCAGGCAAGGAGGTTGGTTTTATCAAGTAAGCACTTATACTAAATCAAGAGACTGACAATTTCCCAGATTAAGAGCTCGCAAACCTTCACACAGTCTAACCCTGCCTCTCGTGCCCCGGTGGCCACCTACTCCAACGCCACCGCCTCCGATGTTCAGGCGGCTATTGACGCAGCGCTGGAGGCTCGCAAGTCGTGGGCCGCTACATCGTTCGCAGACCGTGCGAGCGTCTTCCTCAAGGCTGCCGATCTGATCTCGACCAAGTACCGCTATGACATTATGGCCTTGACCATGCACGGACAGGGCAAGAACGCCTGGCAGGCGGAGATTGATGCTGCCGCTGAGCTGTGCGATTTCTTCCGGTTCGGCGTCAAGTACGCTGAGGATATGTACGCTCAGCAGCCTGTTCATCACGCTCCTGGAGTCTGGAAGTAAGTTACTTTGCATATGCGATCAAGCATGACAAATGGCTAACTAGCGCAGCCGCGTTGAATACCGTCCCCTCGAAGGTTTCGTCTACGCCATCAGCCCGTTCAATTTCACTGCCATCGGTGGTAATCTAGCTGGCGCCCCTGCTCTGATGGGTAACGTTGTTGTCTGGAAGCCGTCTCCCGCTGCCATCGCGTCCAACTGGCTGGTTCACCAGATTCTTTTGGAGGCCGGCCTGCCCAAGAATGTCATCCAGTTTGTGCCTGGCGATGCCGAAGAAGTTACCAATACCGTACTCAACCACCGCGAATTTGCTGCCCTCCATTTCACCGGAAGCACCGCCGTGTTCCGTTCCCTGTACGGAAAGATCGCGCAGGGTGTCGCCGAGGGCAAATACCGCAGCTACCCTCGCATCGTCGGCGAAACCGGTGGCAAGAACTTCCACCTCATCCACAAGTCTGCGGACGTCCGCAACGCCGCCGTGCAGACCGTCCGTGGAGCCTTCGAGTTCCAGGGACAGAAGTGCAGCGCCACCTCCCGCGCGTACGTCGCATCCTCCATCGCCGATCAGTTCCTGGAGCAGGTCGTGTCCGAAATTAAGCAGCTCAAGATCGGCGAGCCTTCCGACTTCACCAACTTCTGCGGCCCCGTTATTCACGAAGCCTCCTTCAACAAGCTCGCCCAGGTCATCGAGGAAGCCAAGAACGACTCCGAACTCGAACTCCTCGTCGGCGGCACTTACGACTCCTCCAAGGGCTGGTACATCCAGCCCACCGTCTACCACACCTCGAACCCCGACCACCCCCTTCTCTCGCGCGAGCTCTTCGGTCCCATCCTAGTCGTGCACACCTACAACGACGCCACAGAGGCTGACTTCTCCAAGATCTGCGAGAAGATCGACCAGACCGGCGAGTACGGTCTCACCGGCTCCGTCTTTGCGCAGGACCGCGAGGCCGTCCGGGTTGCGGACGATGCTCTCCGCAGCACCGCCGGTAACTTCTACATCAACTGCAAGAGCACCGGTGCCGTTGTTGGCCAGCAGCCCTTCGGCGGTGCTCGTGCAAGCGGAACCAACGATAAGGCCGGCAGCGGAAACTTGCTCTCGCGGTTCGTCAGCCTGCGCTCGATCAAGGAGGAGTTCGTTCCTTCTTACAAGGTCGAGTACCCCAGCAATGCGTAAGCTAGCTGGGCATGACATGTGCTTATAAGGGATCGGATTCGGTTCGGTGATTATTATTCCCCATATGTTGATGTATTGATGCATTTTTACTTTGATTTCCTTGCATGACTGGCGTTTCGCATTACGGATGCATGACCTAAAATTTGAGTTTCTTGACACCTGAATGGATATATTCATAGTTTTTTACTTGAATGAGTCTATGGTTGCATTCAATGAATGAAAATCCTCAACTATTTATCATCTGAGCAATTCTTCAAGAGCTTCTGCATACTCTCCATCGCATTCTTCGCATACGGAATCATATCGTACTTCTTCCCCTTCCCCTGATTCCCCCGTCAAAGATCTCCATCGAAAACCACCCCCGGAACCCGGTCTTGAGCACCGCCCGCGCCACCTCCTCAATGGGCAGGTATCCGCCGTCATAGGGCATCGGCCGGAAATCATGGCTCCAGCGCCCCCGTGGCCGAAGCCCATTGATCACCTTATCCTCGATCGGCCGGGTGGGCTTATACGCGTCTGAAATCTGCAGCAGATAGATCTTCTCCGGCGGGATAGATTTCGCCAGCTCGTCCATGCTCGCCGCGAAGCGCCGATTCAGCTCGTCGAGGTCCATGTCGTCTATCCGGCCAGAGATGGTCCGGGGATCGCCCCATTCGGACCCAGCGGTCTGGAAGGTATCCAGGCACAAGCCGATATTGGGGCGGTCGACTGCGCGGACGATCTCCCAGACGTCTTTCCAGGTGGGGGCGTGGGTAGACCAACACCAGTTCTCGTAGGCGAGGCGCATGTTGCGTTTTGCGAGCAGGTCGGCCAGTTCGCGGAGGTCGGAGACGATCTGGGTGCGGTCCGTGGTGATTTTCTCCGCGGGGGCGTCTGTTGAGCCGACCTTTTGTTTATTATTGTCATTAGCCTGGGTTACGCAGCAGAGGAAACCGTAACGGCAATAGGCATACCTGCAGCAAATCCGTCCCGACAACATTCATAATTTCGATCCATCCGTTGGCTCGAGTGAAAGCATCCTGGCGCTCCAGCGACCCGCGCGGCCAGCCCTCAAAGTTCGCGAACGGCTGTAGCATCATCACCTTGAGGTTATTGGCATCGCACAGCTTTCGGATCTCGCCAGCTACAGAGATGATCTCGGCGAAGTTCTCCGAGGCGACCTGGTGGCCGAGGGTTCGTGAGCCATAGTCGATGATATCGGGGAATGATAGCTCGATGCCTGTAAAGCCGGCTTTGCTGATGGCTTCAAGTTTCCGAGGGAGGGTGTCGGCGTTGCTGCTGCCGATCGAGCAGGTGGCATATGACAGAGGGATATTGCGGAGGGATTCGTATGTGATAGTTGGGGCTGATGCGATCATGGTGTTTCTTGTGATCAGCGTTGTATATGTTGTTGGATGAGTCTAGAGATGGAGAATAGCAATTTAGCCGACCAGATGCACGATCACAGAAGGTATTCAATTACAAAAACATAAGTAAAACCATACAAATCAGGAAAGCAATGATAAGTTGATATTTCATGTGTTCCTGGAATTGAAGCTGTCCAAGGCGGATGATGTAACCATGAGATCGGCCGAATTAGGGCAAAAGAACATCTGCAACAGAACAGCCGGCAACGACGGAGTCGGTTTCCGACGCATCGACAATCCACATACGCAGAGAAAATGACATTGTGCATTATGGACTTCCTGACATCGAATCAGATCACATAATAGAAATCAGACCACATAACAGACTACCTTTCCTCGGGGACGCACCGAGAGGCAGGGGTATACTTCGCCATGACGTCTCCTCCGCCGTGATGTAATTCCAGCGTACGTTTCTTCAGGCCGGATGCGCTGTCCGATTGCCACTGGAAGTTCGTTCAATAAGATGATGTTGATCCATGTAAAGTAGTCGGTCTTTCTATCTTCATTTTCTCAGTTCTCTGACTGGGATTTATTTTTGATCAGCCTTGTATAGAACGCAGATCGACAAAGTTAGAAGTATACTGCGAACGCCATCATCATGCCATCATCACAAGACCCAGTTCAGAGATTCAAGCGCATCGGCATTGTAGGAGCGGGGAATATGGGCTCGATGATGACCTTTGCCTTCTCCGAGCTGGGTTGCGATGTCTCGGTATGGGACGTGGATCCGAAGAATGTCGATTCGGTGATGAAGTTCGCCAAAGATGCGCAGCATCTGAAGGGCAAGATCGACGGGTACTACAACATCGATGAGTTTACTAAGAGCCTGGAGGGCAAGGCCGAGCGGAAATTATTCCTCTTTTCCATCACACATGGTCATCCGGCAGACTCCGTACTGGGGATGATCAAGCACGATCTGAAGGCCGGGGACATCATCCTCGACGGAGGAAATGAGAACTACCGACGGACAGAGAGGAGACAGAGAGAATGCGCTGAAATCGGGGTTCACTGGATCGGAATGGGTGTCTCTGGAGGTTACCAGTCCGCTCGACACGGGCCCAGCTTGTCGCCCGGTGGGGATGCCAAAGCACTCGAGCTCGTCATGCCGCTTCTGGAGCTCTACGCCGCCAAAGATCGCAAGACAGGCAAGCCATGTGTCACACGAATTGGCCCTGCAGGCTCGGGACACTACGTCAAGATGGTTCACAACGGTATTGAAGGAGGCATGCTCTCGACACTCGCAGAGGCATGGTCCATCCTCCACAACGGGTTAGGCCTCAACTATGACGAGATTGGCGATCTCTTCTCGAAGTGGAATTCAGAGGGCGAGCTCAAGAACAATTATCTCCTTCAGATCGGCGCAGATATGCTGCACAGGAAGAAGACACCTCAAGGTGACTACCACGGCGAAGGCGCTAGCAAAGATGACGGCTATGTACTTGACGATGTGCTTGACAAGGTGGTCCAAGACGATGACAACACCGAGGGAACTCCGTACTGGTCGATTATGGAGTCCGCTGAGCGTCACGTCTCGGCGCCCACCCTTGCCACAGCGCACTACCTGCGTGTGGCCAGCGGGAATCGTGAAGAGAGAGTCCGAGTTGCGAAGAAGCTTCATATCCCCAGCCCCAAGCCAATTGAGACGATCAAAGATCGTGGTGCGTTCATTGAGAACCTGCGCCGAGCAGTGTACTGCTCTTTCTTGGCATCATTCTGCCAGGGTCTCGAATTGATCGCGCGCGCTTCCGAGGACGAAAAATGGGGCATCGATCTCGGCAGGTGCCTTCAGATCTGGCGAGGCGGTTGCATTATCCAGTCCGAAGCCATCGCAGACCTTCTGCAGCCCGCCCTGACATCCAACAAGCGACTCAGCAATATGAAATTCGTGGACGAGGTCGCGCGAGAACTGCACAAGAATTTTGACGCCCTAAAAGAGATTGTGATTGAAGGAATCCTGTCTGATCAGTACATGCCGGCTTTGTCTGCCACGTTAGAGTACTTGAAGTATGAAGGAGGAACGATGCTGCCGACCAAATTTATGGAGGCGCAGATGGACTACTTTGGCGCTCATGCCTACAACAAGCCCGGTGTCCCAGGTGAAGATCCAGGTCCAGTCAGAAAGGGTCCGCATCATTATGAATGGAAGCCAGCATAAAGTCTTCTTCGGCTGGGCGCCGGCTTTGATTTAAATCACGTTGTTATAAAATGCATATGTGCATATGTAGGACGAATGGAAAATGTGTTGATGCCTTTCGTCGTTAGTTTCCTCATGAATATCCATAAGACCGAGCTCTGAAGATGTAAATCGACGGTCAACCATAAACCGATACAGGCCACGCCTTAGAGATTGAATGCCAGCACAGCTCATTTCGATCGAGGGTGGTTGGGTGAAGCTTAAAAAAGGAAATGGCAGATCGTCCCGATTGATGCCTGTTGATGCCTGCTGATGCCTGTTGATGCCTACTGGTGCCTACTGGTGCCTACTGGTGCCTGAGATCGGCCCCACGTGGGGTCGCGATAAGCGGATTACCCAATCGGGATGACGACCCCGCCAAGGGGCAGAAGTTTTCAAGTCCGAATACCTCTCTTAGCAGTAGCAAGCTGCGCATATATTAGTCTTTTCTCGTGCTGCTTTTTATGCTTGGATTCTCTTCTCTTCGACGATACCTGTCAAGCTTCACCACAAGACCACTCCGAAGAATCGAGTCTGCAAAGCAGCTAGCAAGAAGAATGGCCGATCTCCCCAATACCTACAACGGTGAGTGCGCCGTGCTATCACAAACCCGCAAGTTGCAAAGACTAATCTAATCGTTTAAATGTAGAGCCTGTCCGTATCGCCGTTATTGGTGGTACTGGTCTGCGCGAGCTCCCCGGCTTCACTCAGGTTGCGTCGTTGTCGATCACCACGCCCTGGGGCAACCCCTCCTCTCCTATCACGATCCTGCACCACAACTGCTCTCACAACAACAAGACCGTTGCCGTCGCTTTCCTCAGCCGACACGGTGCTCACCACCAGATTGCACCTCATGAGGTCCCAGCGCGCGCTAACATCGCCGCTCTGCGCTCGATTGGCGTCCGTACCATCATCGCCTTCTCTGCCGTCGGTAGCTTGCAGGAGCAAATCAAGCCGCGCGATTTCGTCATTCCCGACCAGGTCATCGATCGTACCAAGGGTGTGCGCCCTTGGACTTTCTTCGAGGGAGGTGTGGTCGCGCACGTACCGTTCGGCGACCCTTTCGACGAGGGTGTCGCGAAGGTTGTGCGAGCCTGCGGTCACAGTCTGGAGGGCGAGGGTGTCGTCCTTCACGACCGGGGTACTCTGATTTGCATGGGTACGTCATTCATTCGTCCGTCGTTGCTTTTGAGACACTGGCTGACCGTCTTTCAATGACAGAGGGACCTCAATTCTCTACCCGCGCCGAGAGCAATCTTTACCGGTCCTGGGGCGGCAGCGTCATCAACATGTCGTGTCTGCCTGAGGCTAAGCTGGCTCGTGAGGCCGAGATTGCCTACCAAATGATCTGCATGTCCACCGACTATGACTGCTGGCACGAGTCGACGGCCGATGTCACTGTGGAGATGGTCATGGGCCACATGAAGGCCAATGCTCAGAATGCCAGACGCTTTGTCACAGCCGTCCTCGACGCTCTGGCCAGCGATGAGCACTCTGACCTCGTCCAGGCCAAACACGTTGAGGGCTCCATCAAGTTTGGTCTCAGCACCGCCCAGGCCAACTGGAGCCCTGAGGCTCGGGAGAAGCTGGAATGGCTTTTCCCTGGTTATTGGAACTAAGCTCTCCAAATTTTTTTTCCTTCCTGAGATGATAGATACGATGCTTCAACACATAGGTATTATGTAGATCTACTGCTCTGGCATAGACCGTTTATACTTGGTTACGAACTTATGAGGATTGAACTTTTTAAGATTGTGGTACATATCTTTCATATCACAAAAGATGTATTTACTGGAACAGACTGGATAACCAGCAGCCATGAACTTCCATTGCATTCTAGACTGAGAAGCTATTAATAGGCCTATCTTTACTCGTTATCTCTCTGTATTAGCTACTACGCATATTTTATGCAATCATGAGGACGGCTCTAATCGACTCCTCAATGAACAGTCTAACCGCTTAACCGGCACCGTACAGCCTACTCCCCACCTCGATCTCGTGTTATTGATTAAACCGATCGGCGTTACTCTACTACCTGATTATCTTATTTTGGATACTATCTAGAGAGGTATATACATGGTAATAGGGGGGAAGACTTGGCATTCCAATCCCCAGCAGCGGAGGGTCCAGCACGTGGGTGTTAGTTCCTGAACGCCAAGGCAGCCAAGCACTTGGGTTTCAGCCAGAGGTAAAGCTTCGTGGTCCTGCATGCTTTGGCTTCTGTTTGCTATTCGTCGCCGGTGCAATCAGCATTCCAAGTCCAGAATGACGTTTATGCAGATGTACTCTCGAATGACGAGGTCTGCTTTGATTACGATGCCGTCTGCCTTGACATTACGCCCTTGGTCGCTGCTTCCTGGCCGTGCAATCGTCAGTCCCTCCAAGAGAGGGAATGCAAACGATCCGGAGCATTCCTTGCTATCTTATCTCAATATGGATACTATAAATTGGTCCTCGTTCAGGCTATCTTCGCTGGTCTCCTCGGAGCAGAGAATCTCTCAGATCTGGCAAAGTCACAATGTGGTACTCATTGTCTCTTCTGTTGTTGGCGTCCTCGACTGCCACCGCTAGCTATGCGGGCAATCTCAACTACCGCAGTCCGTCTTACAACCACCCTGAATTGGGTGTTTCGATCCGCAAGGTAGCCAAGCGGGGTGAGCCGACGTCGGCCTTTGATCCTGCTCAGTTGAACTTTACCCACGGTGTGGCTTCAGGTGATCCCTATGCTGAGTCGGTCATCTTGTGGACACGATGTGCCCCCAGCTTCGACGATGTCAATGACAATAGTACTACATCTGGACTGGTTCCTCTGTACAACCCTGTCCCTATCTACTCGGACAAGCAGAACAAGCCAGTCTCCAAGGCGCCTGTCTGCTTGAACTACAAGGTTTCTCGTGATGCTGGCATGAAGAAAGTTGTCTCGGAGGGAACTGTGTTCACCAGCTCTGATATTGACTACACTGTCAAGGTTAGCACAATCGCTTGTTATTTGTCTGCAGCCAACACATCATGCTTACTTTAAGATAGGTCGAGGCAACCAAGTTGAAGCCGTTTACTACATACTACTACCAGTTCAACGTGTGCAACTCGGACAACACGAGTCCCATTGGACGCACTAAGACTGCTCCTGCGCCTAAGGATGATGTTAATAACATCAACCTGGCTGTGTACTCCTGCAGTAACTATCGTACGTCCTCGTGCTACTTCTCTGGCTTTATGTCGCTTCGCTAATGAGACTGTAGCTTTTGGTTTCTTCAATGGTTATGGAAACCCTGTAAGGAAGGACTCCGTGGACTACGTTGTGCATCTGGGGTAAGACCAAAAGATTTTAAGATGATCATCAATACCAGGCTGACTTGAATAGTGACTACATTTACGAATATGGAAACGGCGAATAGTACGGACCTCCCACTCACCCAGTCCATAAGGGCTAGCAACTGACCTGTTATGCAGTGGCTGGGGCAACAGTCTGGGGCGCATTCCTCAACCGGACCGAACCATTTTCTCTCTCTACGATTACCGCAAGCGCCTGGCAACTTACAGAACCGACTTGGATCTTCAGTTGAGCCACCAGAACTATGCTTGGATTCCAGTTTGGGATGATCACGGTAGGCACTCCTGCAATTTATTTGGGCCTGAGATCTGACCAGAACAGAGGTGTCTGACAACACATATCGCGATGGATCTTCCAAGCTCCACAACGATGAGGAGTCCTTCCTCACGCACGGCGGAGTGTCGGTGGACCAACGCAAGATGAACGCCGTCCGTGCCTATTTTGAGTGGATGCCGATCAGGTCAGCTTCTGACAGCTACTCCATTCTTTCCCGCAGTGACTAACTTGGCGCAGACAAGTTGAAATGGATGACAACCTTCGTATTTGGAGAAACTTCCAGCTCGGTTCTCTCGTTGACCTTATCATGCTGGACACCAGGCAGTATGATCGCTCTATCACCGACACGTACGACAATACCGACTATATATATGAGATCGCCAACGATGCTGGTCGAACCCTCATGGGTAGCCGCCAGGAGAACTGGTTCTACCGTAATTTGATCGATTCGGCTAAGCGAGGTGCCCACTGGCGCATTATTGGTAGCCAAATTAGTATGTCCTCCGGATGGGTTGAATCTGATTGAAGGCGAGGGCTAACAAAAGTAGTCTTCTCTCGGCTCAACCAGTCCATTGCCAACAGTGAACATCCTCTGAACGTCGACGCCTGGGATGGATATCTGGCTAACAAGAACCGCACACTCCAAACCCTCTACGACAACCAGATTGGCAACAATATCATGATCGCCGGTGACTCTCATGCCAACTGGGTGAGCGACGTGGCCTGGGTCGACAACAAGCCGTACGATCCCAAGACCGGCGCCGGCGCCATTGGTGTTGAATTTGCCGGTACTGCACTTACTTCCCCGTCGCCATACGGACAGAACATTACGATTGCCGATGCCAACAAGGCCTCGAAGGCTCTCGTCACTGACAATGAAGAGCTTTACTGGTCGGAGCTCTACTACCGCGGATACTTTGAGCTTCATATCACGCCTAAGGAAGTAGAAGCCCGCTTCTTCGGTCTACCCAACATCAAGGAGCGTAATGGCGAGGAGATTTCCCTTGCCAACTTCACCGTCAAGAGCGGTGCCAATCATCTGGAACGCAACTCCAACGGGGTGGTTGGTGGCGGCGCTGTGGCCAACGGATGGCTCAAGAATGGGCAGCTGGTTCCTACCAACCAGACGAATAACACTTATGGGCAGTAGTTTGAAGGGGTATATGGTCAGACGGCTGGTGTAGAATGACCTATTTGAAAGCACTGCAGAATCTTGCGCTATGTCTGTGTGGTGATTCAGGCTGTTCCTGTTCCTGGGGATTCTTCGTGCATTAAATCTCCTATACTTTAATGGATGAAATATTATGAGCATAATTACATTGAAAGATTCCTGCAATCGTCGTGTCAATTACCTTAGAACACAATATATATCAGCTGATTGGCGGACTTTTAGGCCTTGTTCGTAAAGTATCATTTATGATATGGCACACATCGCATATGACTTGGAAGAAAGAGACACTTGATGCATGTTCTAAGAATAACAGATCATGCTCTCTTTTCCTTGCGAAGCCGTGATCAACATGGAGCCCCTGAATATCTTACTCAAATTCCCCATCTCCACGTCAGACGGCTCCAACGCGGGGAAATGATCGTCAGGTTCTTCTCTAGGCGAGGGATCAGCACTCCTGATCAAGATTAGGAGTACGCAACATTTACTGCACTTGTTAAGGCTGGACTCCCTGGATTTACGGAAAAGACTCAAGGACTGCAAGATTGTCCTCGTGGAGGATAATGAGAAGGAACAACAATGGAACACTCTGCCGAGGATCGAGTCGGGCATGTGGGGTAAGCAGACGGCACTCAGCCCCTCTACTACTGCAGAACAGGAATGCAAGACGAGAGGGTCTCATGATGAATCATGGCCGCGAGATCAGCCTGCTTCTTGCAGTATAAGATCGTCAACCACTAGACTTTAATTGGCCTCGTTTTGGAAACGGACGAACCGCGCCGTCTTGGCCTCTGACGCCAGCTTGCCCTGTTGTCCAGTGAGATGCGGCAAGTGATTGCAATTCCACCATGCTTTTTATCCGGATCCCGGTGCGAGAAGGGCACATGCCACATTCTTCAAGGGGTGAAGAGTCAGAATTAGGCAAACGCTCCGAATCGAGGGCTTGGTCCGGGACTCCGGTTGATCTGGTTTTATGCACGATGACATGACTTGATGAGCGAGAGGCCCCTTGGCGAGCTGGCTTGCTCCGCTGCCTGCATATCCTTTCCCCTCTTTGATATGGACGGACTGGATGGTGTTATATATCTAGGGCCTGCTGCTCGAGTGCGCAGCGTGGCCCCGATATCTATCTCTGTAGTTCCGATCGCAATCTGCGTCCGGGTTTGGTACGACAGCTCGACTACGGCTATGTGTGTGGTTAGCACCTGGGATTGACCTTTCCTTGCGTACTTGCCGAAGCGTATACCGCTGAGTCCAGGAAGTTTCTCGCCTGCACAGCCATGCGTGTGCTTTCAGATCTGGCCCTCGTGGCTTCACTGGTGCCATTGGGACTTTCGGCTCCTACCTCTGAGTCTCGGGTTTCCGCTCAGCTGGAATCACGAGACGCTGCTGGATACTCCTCGCCGCCGTACTACCCTGCCCCTAATGGAGGATGGCTATCCAGCTGGGCAGAGGCTTACGAAAAGGCCCAGAGGGTGGTAAGAAACATGACCTTGGCCGAAAAGGTGAATCTGACCACCGGGACGGGCATCTTCATGGGCCCCTGTGTCGGCCAGACGGGGAGTGCGCTGCGATTCGGGATCCCCAATCTCTGCCTCCAAGATTCTCCTTTAGGGGTGCGCAACTCAGACCACAACACCGCATTTCCGGCCGGCATCACTGTCGGCGCGACCTTTGACAAAGACCTCATGTACGATCGCGGTGTGGAGCTGGGAGAAGAGTTCCGCGGCAAGGGAATCAACGTGCTTCTTGGGCCGTCAGTCGGCCCGATAGGGCGCAAGCCGAGAGGTGGCCGCAACTGGGAAGGCTTCGGCGCGGATCCCAGTCTGCAGGCGATTGGCGGTGCGCAGACGATCAAGGGGATCCAGAGCCGGGGGGTCATCGCGACGATCAAGCACTATATCGGCAACGAGCAAGAGATGTACCGAATGAGTAACATAGGCCAAAGGGCGTACTCGTCCAATATCGATGACAGGACGCTCCACGAACTCTACCTGTGGCCATTTGCAGAGGGGGTTAGAGCCGGGGTTGGCGCCGTCATGACTGCGTACAATGAGGTGAGTGTCTTTCACTCATGTTCTAGCGTCAAGCCATCTGATGGGTTGGACGAAAAAGGTGAACAGTTCGGCGTGTAGTCAGAACAGCAAGCTGCTCAATGAAATCCTGAAGGATGAGCTAGGATTCCAGGGTTTCGTCATGACCGACTGGCTTGGACAGTATGGCGGAGTCTCATCCGCCCTGGCTGGTCTGGATATGGCCATGCCCGGCGACGGTGCTATACCGCTTTTAGGCAATGCTTATTGGGGCTCTGAGCTCTCGCGCTCCATTCTGAATGGCTCCGTCCCAGTTTCACGACTGAACGACATGGTAAGGTTCTTTTTATACTGTGTCTGTTCGGTCCAGATGCTGAATCATCACAGGTCACTAGGATCGTGGCGACCTGGTACAAGATGGGCCAGGATGGAGACTATCCCCTGCCCAACTTCTCGAGCAACACACAAGATGCGACGGGGCCATTGTACCCGGGTGCTCTTTTCTCTCCATCTGGCGTTGTCAACCAGTATGTCAACGTGCAGGCCGATCACAACATCACTGCCAGAGCAATCGCGAGAGATGCCATCACTTTGCTAAAGAATGATGACAATATTCTCCCTTTGAAGAAGGACGACTCTCTTAAGGTTTTTGGAACAGACGCCGGGCCGAACCCGGACGGTCTCAACTCCTGCGCTGATATGGGATGCAACAAAGGCGTGTTGACCATGGGCTGGGGCAGTGGCACGTCCAGGCTTCCGTACCTGGTCACACCACAGGAAGCCATTGCCAACATCTCGTCCAACGCTACCTTCTATATCACCGATAATTTCCCCTCTAACGTTGCGGTAAGCTCAGGCGATATCGCCGTGGTGTTCATCAACGCCGACTCCGGAGAGAACTATATCACTGTCGACGGCAACCCCGGGGACCGGACCTCGGCCGGGCTAAATGCATGGCACAACGGCGACAAGCTCGTTAAAGATGCAGCGGCAAAGTTCTCCAAAGTCGTCGCGGTCATCCACACCGTGGGCCCTATCCTCATGGAGGAATGGATTGATCTGCCATCGGTCAAGGCCGTCCTTGTCGCGCACCTCCCTGGACAGGAAGCCGGCTGGTCCCTGACGGACGTCCTCTTCGGCGACTACAGCCCCAGCGGCCATCTCCCGTACACGATCCCACGCGCCGAATCCGACTACCCGTCCAGCGTGGGTCTCCTCTCGCAGCCCATCGTCCAGATCCAGGACACCTTCACCGAGGGCCTATACATCGACTACCGCCACTTCCTAAAAGCCAACATCACCCCGCGCTATCCCTTCGGCCACGGGCTGTCCTACACCACCTTCAGCTTCTCCCAGCCCACAGTGTCCACCCGTACCGCAGTCGACAGCGCCTACCCACCAACTCGGCCTTCCAAAGGCCCAACCCCAACCTACCCCACCACCATCCCTAACCCCTCCGAAGTCGCCTGGCCCAAGAACTTCGACCGCATCTGGCGCTACCTCTACCCATACCTCGACGACCCCGCCGGCGCAGCAAAGAACTCCAGCAAGACATACCCCTATCCAACAGGGTACACGACCGTCCCCAAGCCGGCTCCCCGAGCCGGTGGCGCAGAAGGAGGCAACCCGGCCCTCTTCGACGTGGCCTTCGCCGTCAGCGTCACAGTCACAAACACGGGCACCCGGCCCGGCCGCGCGGTCGCGCAACTCTACGTCGAACTACCCGAGAGTCTGGGCGAGACGCCATCTCGCCAGCTGCGGCAGTTTGCGAAGACGAAAACGCTAGCCCCTGGGGCCAGCGAGACGCTGACCATGGAGATCACCCGCAAGGATATCAGTGTTTGGGATGTGGTGGTGCAAGACTGGAAGGCGCCTGTTCAAGGCGAGGGAGTGAAGTTCTGGCTTGGGGAGAGTGTGTTGGATATGCGGGCTGTGTGTGAGGTTGGAGGTGCCTGCAAGGTTATATAATCTCAGTTTGCTCAATATACCTTGAATCCTGGGACGTTTGTTTTTATAGTATCTGCTGCATAATTTGCACAAGGCGACATGATATGTAGTTGCTGACTAATGCATAATTAATACTTTGCCTCGCCGCTTCTTGATCTCCAAGGCTTCGCCTACAATTCTCCCCATCGCGGCATTCATCACCAAGGACAACCACCGGTCGATCGATCACTCCCTCGACCGAGTCCGTACTGGCCGGCAACTTATTCTGGAATGTGATATACGCCCTTATCCTGACGGATACTATCCAAAATGCAGGGCTTCAGTGAGTACTCCGCCCCTCTGCATCCCACCGTTATCACGCGGGGCATAGCATAACTAACAGTCATTTCATAGACATGGGACGGTCCGTCGCCTCTCCCCTAGCTACCTAATCTTCCTACCGAACCTGTAACTAACCTACTGAACAACAGCTACGTCCCCCGGACCAAGAGGGCCTAACAACCGGCAACAAACTAGCCGGCAAGCACCCACTAGGCGCACGCGCGCGCCACCTCCGCACAAGCGGCGCGTTGATCGTGCGCTTCGAGATGCCCTTCGCTGTATGGTGCACGACGTGCAAGCCGCACGAGACGCTGATCGGGCAGGGTGTGCGGTTCAACGCCGAGAAGCGGAAGGTCGGGAGCTACTACTCGACGCCGGTGTATAGTTTCCGGATGAAGCATGGGGCGTGCGGGGGTGGATTGAGATTCGGACGGATCCGGCGAATACGGCGTATGTTGTTGTTGAGGGGGGAGGAAGCGGGATACTGGAGAGACGGGCGGGGTGGGCATTGGGGAGATTGCGGTGGGGAGGATAGGAAGGCGAAGGAGGATGCGTTTGCGAGGTTGGAGGGAAGGTGGAGGATAAGCGGCGGGCGGAGACGGAGAGGTCGCGGATTGAGGATTTGCAGAGGCGACAGAATAAAGACTGGGACGATCCGTATGAGCGGTCGAGACGGTTGCGGCGGTCGTTCCGGGTGGAGCGCAAGGCGCGCGAGGGGTCGAGGCGAAGTCCGAGGCGCTGAGGGATAAGATGAGCTTGGGGATTGAGCTTGTGGAGGAGACGGAGGAGGATAGCATGCGGGCGGGCATGGTGGACTTTGGGCGCGGGGATGATACAACCCAAATCATGCGTCGCCGGCCGTTGTTCGACTCGCGGAATGGGAAACGAGACGCCGCTAGTATGCTGGCTGATCGCAAGGCGCTGTTTCGCAGTGAGTTGACGGGGAATACGCGGGCTGCAGTCGATCCGTTTCTCAACCAGGATGGGAGTGCATGGCGGCCGGAGGTCAAGAGGAGAAAGACGACATCGACAAAAGGTGTAGATGTCGCTGATGATGGACCAGCCGCAGTTAAAGCCCCTGTCAAGCCAGATAGACCGGTTGCACCACCCGTGCTGGTCAACTATACGTCTGACAGTGACTAAGTGACGACTGGATGCATGATTCTTTCTGTATTTCTACGGCGTTTTGTTTGCATGATACCCGGCGGAGTTCGCCTCAGATTACATGGTTTGGACTTGTTCCAGAATTGACCGCTTTCATTTCTGATAAACATAAATAAAGGGTATAGAACAAGTGTGAAGATTACGTATTTTGATTTTGCGGTAGTAGTTACTTCGCCCAGGGAGCTTTCGTGGGAACATGGGTTGGATCAGCGCTGGGTGCCTGCCCGGCTGACGATGCTGCCCACGGAGCTCTGGTAGGGGCCATAGGACCAGGGGGTAGTCGTGACGTATCGGGAAGAGCGGTAGGTGGTTCTCCGGGCGGACATCCGTCTCTCCTTGCTGCCCATGGCGCGGCGGTTTCTGCTCCACCTGGGGCAGCCTGAGTAGCAGTTGCCCAGGGTGCCCTGGTCCCGGATAGCGGCATCTGTCCTGCAGATGGGGCGGCCGGCCCCCTAGACTGAGACTGGGTGGTAGATGTATGAACGGACGTCGGGGGCGGGACGGCATTGGGGTCGCGGTCCCAGCTGAAGAGGGAGCCAAAAGGGAAGTGCTGCACTACGGGGAATTTGGACAGTACTTCCGCGTTGTACATTTTGATCATACCCTGTATAGTAAGCACTCGGTCAGTTCGAGCAAAGCCCACAAGACTCACCTTGTTGATTTTCCCCCAACCAGCCTGTATGCCGGAAATGTCGTAGAGCATAGGGCTATGTTCCCAAAATGGGCCTTTCTTGACGTCGTAAATGAAACCGATTGCGGAGAAATACATATTCGTCAACCTCTCTCGTTCGACGATATGTGCTTTGGTAACACCATTGGGCGATGGAGCACCTGGAAGCGAGCCTTCTTCAGGAGTGGGATCTGTCTCTGAAATGGCTGGCGCCAGTTGCGCAGATCCCAGAATGTACGGGATGAAGGAATGGTCGTCCAGTCCCCAAACGCCATGAGACCCTGCCGGTTCGAGCGTGTACCGCTTGATGATGGTGCGCACTAGCTCTAGATATCTGCGAGAAGTCAGCAAATTGCAGTCACCCTCTTGAGCCGGACTTACGGCTGTATGACCCCCAAGACGATAGCTCTCTCCTCCACGCCCGGAGTTGTCTTCGGAAAACCATTCAGCTTCCATATCCCAGCCAAGAATGCCAGAAAGCTCAGCTCATGTCCAGTTCCATAGTCCAGCCTCTGAGGGCTCCCCCAGCTGCCTAAGAAGTACGCTTTGAGTTCCACCTCCGCGGTCACCCCGTTAGGATCCGACGATTTAGCCTGCAGCAGCTCGGACGACAAACACTCCCCCAGTAGCTCCGAGGCTCGGCTCTCCACGAGCTCGTACCACCTGCGGAAACTTATATTCCCAAACCTCCGAGGACCAGTATCAGGTGGCGCCTCTTCGAGAAGCTCCTCCAGTTTTGTCAGGAGCTGCTGGAGCTGCCGTACAGGCGCGGAGAACTCGACGGCGTCTGTGTTGATCGGCCAGGATTGTACAGTGCCGTCGGCGAGTTTGACGGGGATCATGGCCCGGTTGAGCTGTAGGAGGAAGGTCGTAATGTCAACGTAGGCTTTGGAGACGAGGAACTCTGATACATCTTGAGATTCGTGGATTCTCTTGCTGGGGGTGATAAAGGTGTGCCCCGCAGAGGGGTCGATGGTTGGAAGAACCCGGAGGGGAAAACCGTTTGCCATGATTATTTTAGCTATAAAATTATGTCAAGACTGATACTGGAGGCTGGTAATAAATATGGATAAGAGGGGAGAAGTCTGGATGGTTGAAGCTGGCGTTGCGGAGGATTGTACTCTTATGTTGGTCGATCATATGGCGATGACGCTGATCCACCGGACGACACTGGACCTCCGCAAAAACAGACCGATCAACTGTCAACACGGATGACATTCACCACTAACGAGCATCTCTACGCTGACTATCCGAAGTAATATCCTAATACAACGCTCATCCCAGTGCAATTAGTTAATGGCCGTCCTCTATGAGTTCCTCGCGAAAGAACAAACGTGATTTGACCTCGCGGACCGTTGATTTCCTCAACCGCGTCAACAGCGTCAAGGACAACACCGACGCGGACGCCCAATCCAGAAGCAAACCGCGCGTTCGGCGTTTAGCATCGCAGCCTATCAACCGATTTGGTAGCAGGACGCCGCAAATCCCGCAGGGCAATGCTATTTGGGATATTCCGTCGGACTTTTCGGAGGAGGAGACACGACCAAGACGCAATGCACAGACCGAGCCCCGTTCTCTGAGACGATCCCAACGAGCTCGAAAGTCAGTTCAAGTGGAGGATACGCCCACCCGGGCGTCGAGGAGATTGGCGCGTGTCATTGAGGATAGGCATGAGCAAAGTAGCGAGGAAGATGATTCCGAAATGGAGGAATTGGATAAAATCATTGATAAGCAGTTGGGTGGCGCGAGGCTCATCCAGTCGGTGAACGAGAACAGAAGCACAGACATGAACCATGGATCCAGCCGTGAAGAAAGGGGCCAACAAGAAGAGGGAAGCGACAGGGCCGCGGAGGAACCTGTGGAATCTACCTCACCGTCGAAAAAGCTCAGAATTCAGAAATCTAAGACGACGGACGCGCAGGAAGCCCAAGAGGACGACCCGGAATGGGCGGCCGATACAGCAGCAAGCGAAGAGTTGGGAGAAGAGGAAGACGATGAGAGAGGATGGGACACTCACAGGCCGCCAGAGTCTACACATATCATCCAGACTCGAAGATTGACTCAGGAGCTGGCCTCACCACGAGCGACACGGAGACATACCCTTGCGGCTCCAGCACCTGAGACAGAGGTGGACAAATCCTCAAGAAGGCTGAACAGAAGGTCGCTGCCGGCGCAGAATGGTTTAGGAACGGGAAAGACTACTCGAGAAAAGCAAGGGGATAGAACCGCACAGCTATCAGAGGTATCTGAGTCTGTGCAAGAGGAGTCTGAATCAGAAAGCTCGTATGAACCGGAGGCAGAGGAAGAGGAAGAGGACGACGAGGAAGATGGGGCGAGTCGACATGTACCCGACACGCAGCGGGAGGAACCGTCTATCACCGCGCGACCAAGCAAGAGACGCCGTACCGATCAGTATCAGCGCAACCCCCAAGTCGAGATCTTGCGCACACAGCCAGCGCAGCCGCCAGTGCATTCATATCCGTCGACTCCTGATGACAATGAGAGTCGCAGGAGCCCGCGTCATCCCTCGCAAAGTCCCGCTGTTGCTGCAGGACCCATCAACGCGATCCCAGATGATGCACAAAACGAAGCTTTGATGAGAAGTGTGAGAGACAATGCGGGAGATAAAGCGTGGTTTGCGGAGGCTTCCAACCTTGGACAACAAAAAGAGAACTGGGATGTTATAGTGACAGCAGCATCGGAGTTGAGAGAAAATATAGACCCCTCTCGAGCCGAGGCCTTCGGGATAATCGACAAACAATTATTTCAGCTACGTACACGATATACAAAGATCAATAAGAAACTCAAATCTCAACAGGGGCCTCTCCGAGAGGATCTGCGTGAGTGCGAAGACCTTCGCGAGGCCATCTTGGAAGAAGGGACCAGGATCCTTGACAGCGTCTACTATCTGTCTCTCCGACAGGCAGAGTCGCATGAGCTGCTGAAACAGGCGCATCGGCTTGTTAAGCAGTTTGAAGCCCGGGTCTTTTCCACGATGATCAAAGTGATCCTTCTTTGCTTTGAAGGATACTACGCCAACCGGAAACTCTTTCCGTCGGCTTATAGACATCTTGCCGGGGCGATGAAGCTCCTTCTACGATTCTGCGACCGGATTGCCAGCCTGCGCACCGAGCGATATATACGGTGCAAGGTACACAGTCGAACCATCCGCAAGCCGCTTCAAAAGTTGATCAAGGCGGCGGAAGGCAACTTGCTGCAACGACGCCTGAATGAGACTGACGGGGCTACCAGCGGTGACAAGAAGAGGGAATGGACAGAGGATGAGAAAATTGCTCTGCTCGATGGATTGAAGCTGTTTCTGGGTGAGTTGCTGTTCCTGATATTTTCAGCACCAGTCTCATCATCAATGCTAATTCAAGCTGAGGTGTTAGGTCAGGACCGCTACATTCGCATGGTCTGCCATTTTGGACAGAGACTGCGACACCGAAGTCTACAGGAGCTTCAGACGAAAGCTCGAGAGATTCATGACCGGTTTATCCCTCGAATTCAGGAGGAGCTCAAGACGGTAGAAGGCCGTCGACAGTGGCAATGGTTATTGAGTGTGAACGACGGTCAGCGTCCGGTGTCTGTGGATTGATTATGATTATTCTCTTGTCTGTGTCTTTTTTTGCCTTTCGATACCCCTTTTTGTTATGTAGATATAGTTTCCACTCTCTCGGACCCATGGATCATCCAGTCGACCGATCCACAGATTTATTATTTGTTTTGTTTTGGTGCGGTCGGGCGCGTAGCAACAGAAGGAAGATGTTCGACACGACCATGATGCTCTACAGCAGACAATCATCTAGGAACAATAAATACTAATGATATAATTCATCAGCTGAAAGCAATCATCTCATCATCATTTACTGTATCTAGATAGACAAAGGACCCTCTGCTGATCGCCGTTCGTGACTCTCCGCCTTTTTCCCCCACTCCTGCTAAAATCAATAGTCGGCAAAAGGAAGGGAACTTTTGACTCTACTCTCTCCTACATCTCGCGTCTGGCTCTCTCTCTCTCTCATCCATTAATTGTCGCATGTCTCACTTGTCTGCTTCTCCTTTCCTGTCATAAAATTCTTTGTATCCTCTTTAATCTTGCAATTCTTCTTCATTGATTCTTTTCTGTCTATCTGTTTCTTTGTTTTGGCCGGGTTCTGTTGGCCAATCATACCCCCTACTGCCGACACCGTTCACCTCCAATTCTCTACCTACTAAATAGAAGCTAAGGTACCTAAACGGCTTCATCCTCCTAGTTGGGCACTTGATCCCGATTCCATCCCGCATTGGTCCGGAGAATCGTCAATCAGTGAGTTGTCATCTCCCTTCCTTTATGGCTGCCCTATAGGTCCTCCCGCCGGATAGGGGGCCACACGCCCACCTCGCATCGCAGCTGCCTCTACCTGCAGATCTGTTCGGGAAGCAATTCGCTAGCTGTGGTGAGGTGTCATTAGCTGATTGCTGCGTTGTCTATCTCTGGTGTCTGTCTGCAAAGCATCAATCACTTCTGCACTGATGATCTTGCATGGATTCCCATAAATCGGTTGCTACTCTAGTATCTCTCAGAGCTAACAGTCTTCCCTCTAGGCACGGTCACGGGCCTTCCAACATCTATAATGGCTTCCACAGAAGAACCTGTCCCTGCTCCTGCCCCTGCGCCCGCTGAGGCGCCCGCTTCGGCCGAAGTTGACGCTGAAATGGCACCCCCTGCTACTCCCGTTGACTCTACCATCCTGTCCGGCAGCGAGGGACCCGTTACGAGCCCCGATGCTTCTATCAGAGACAAGGAGAATATCAAGTCTTCGCCCGAAAAGACCACTACAACCACAAAGCGTCCGTTGTCTGGAACGGCAGCTGCCAAACGTCCGAGCTCTGTTTCCGGCGCTACCAAGACCGCAGCGTCCACCGCGCGAGCAGCGGCCAACGGCAGTACGCTCAGCAAGCCCCAACTCGTCCTACCACTTCCGGTACTGTCCGTAAACCGCTGAGCACTTCGACAACCGCCTCCCACCGGTCTCGCCCCTCGGTGAGCAGCTCCGCGGATGAGAAGACGAGGTCGGTTGCGAGCTCTGGCGACGAAAGGAGAGGAATCTCGGGCTCGGCCAAGCGCATGTCCTTGGTCGGCACTACTTCCTCTAGGGCTCCACCGAAGACTACTACGTCCACTTTGGACCGTCGCTCGAGCATTGCCGGCACCACCGCATCACGGAGCACCGCTACGCGTCCTGGTACCGCTTCATCGACTAAACCTGCCACAAAACCAACTGGCGTGTCCAGCACTTCTCGTACATCCAACAGCACCAGCACGGCCACGGCCCGACCTGCAACCCGACCCACGGCAACGGCTACACGCCCTACTACGACGGCCTCGAAACGACTGAGTACCGCCATCAAGGTTTCCGACGATGAGGCGGAGAAACTGCAGTCGCTGCAGAACAAGCTGTCCGAAAGTGAGGCGACTGTCGCCAGTCTCAAGGCAGAGCTGGAGACCGTGAACGAGAAGCTTTCTCAGCTGTCGGTGTCTCAAGAGGGAGCGCCCAAAGAAAACGACGATGCAGTCGCCAGCGCCCTGCGGGAGGAACACGCTGCCGAGACGGCAAAGCTGGCCGCTGAACATGCCGAGCAACTGCAAGCTCTGCAGGCTCAATTGGACGAGGCAGAGACCAAGCGCAAGGAACTGGAAGAAAAGTCCCTGCAGGACCTGGACAATGCCGCCAAAGCAGCCGCTCAGGACGGGGACGAGAAGACTACTGCGGCACTTGAGGAGTTGAAGCAGTCCCACCAGTCTCAGCTTGAGGCGCTGGAGAAGGAGCTCGCTGAACAAAAAGCCATTGCGGCTGGTTATGCTGACCAGATTGCCGCTCTCCAGGCCCAACTCGAGTCGCAAAAGAATGGGCTTGAGGAAGCCACTCAGAAGTTACAGGAGGAAAAGGCATTGGCCCTCGACAGCTTGGATCGGGAGCTCAAGGGACGCGACCAGGTGATTGAGAACCTCAACGTGGAGATGGAGAAATTGAACAGCGCCAAGGAACAGGAGGTTCGTGCGGCCGAAGAGTCCGCCAAGCAATCCGTCTCCGCGCTGGAGGAGAAGGTCGCCGATCTCAAGGCCAAACTTGCCCATGCTGAATCTGCCACGAGCCAAAGCGGTGAAGAGACCACGCTTCTGCTTGCCGAGAAGGACAAGGAGGTTGCTGAGCTGAAGCAAGCTGTTGCAAAGTTGCAGGAAGAGCTTCAGGAGGCTCGCGAGGCTGCTGCCAAGGAATTGAATGAGAAAATTGCTGAATTAGAGTCCGCTCACGCGGCCGCGGTCGCCAAGCTCAAGGCTGAACACGAGGAGGCCTTGGCCTCGGCCGCCGCTGCCCACGCCCAGGAATTGACTGTAGCGAAGCAGGCGGCTGAATCTGCCGGTTCCATGCACTCTGAGGAGCTTCAGAAGCTGCGCGAGGAATTGGATGCTGCCGAAGCCGCAGCGCAAAAAGGCAGGGAAGAAGCCATCAGTGAGCTCAACGCGGCACATCAAGCCGAATTGAAAGCCCTTCAGGACAAGCTGAACACCTCGGAGCAGGCGCTGGGTGAAGCCCGGCAAGCGCTGGAGGCTAGCGCCAGCTCAGCCCAGGCGGTTGCCGTCCAGGAGATCGAGTCGCTCAAGGAGAAGGTCGGCGCGTTGGAGTCGCAGCTGTCGACCGGACAGGGCGAGATCCAGTCTCTGGTTGAGGAAGTCCAGAGCAAACAGGCAGAAGCCGAAGCCTTGCACCAGAACCTCACTGATTTTGAAACCAAGCTCAAGGCCAAGGACGCCGAGAAGGATGAGCAGCTGAGGGATCTGAAAGAGAAGGCGGCTGCCTCGGAGAAGGCTCTTGAGGAGCAACTCAAGGAGGCGGTTGCCGTTGCCGAGAGACACGCACAAGCCTTGGAGGCGTTGAAGGCGGAGCACGCCGCGGCGCTCGAAGAGGCCAAGACCGAGGCGGCTGGGTCTCATGAGAGTGTGCTGAGCGCGCTCCAGGCTAAGCATGATGACCTGCTCGCAGCGAACCGGGATCTGGAAACGTCTCACGCTGAAAAGGTTGCAAAGCTAGAGGCGGAGCTGAAGAGCACGTTGGAACGCCATGCTGGCGAGATCAGCTCGCAGACGGAGCTGCGCGAGAAGGAAATTGCGGATCTCCGGAAGGACTTTGCAGAGACCAAGGCCAAGCTCCTTGCGGAACTCGAGGCATCGCAGGCATCCAAGGCTGCCGAAGCTGATGCCGAGCACAGCAAGGCGATTGAACAGCTGCTCACTCTCCAGGAAGAGAAGCTGTCCAGCCTCCGGTCCGAACTCGAATCCTCCCACAAGGCCAAGTTGGATGAGCTGCAGAAGTTGCATGACACCACCCTCGCGGAGGTCCAGGAGCAGCTTGCGCAAGCCCGTGCTACGATGCAGGACACCTCTCTGATCGATGGTCTGAGGGCGACGGTGGCCGATCTCGAGCAGAAGCTGATGGACGCGGACGAGGCCGTGGCTGCCAAGGAAGCGCTGGCGAACCAACACAGCACCGCGCTAACCCAGCTGGAGGCGGAGAAGAAGGAGTTGGAGGCCCGCTATGCGGCGGTGACCAGCCAAGTGGACGAGTTGACCAAATCGGCTGCTGCGTCGGAGAGCATCAAGAAGGAGCTGGAGCGGGTCCTGAACCAGCTGTCTGAGTCGCAGGAGGAACTGTCGCAGCTGCAGGCCAGCCACAGAGCAGTCAGCGGCGAGCTGGAGCAGTTCAAGACGCAGACCCGGTCGATGGAAGAAAAGTTGTCGCAGGGTGAGAAGGACCTGAACGACCAGATCGAGCGCAATATGTCGCTGCTGAACCAGCTGGGCGAAGTGGACTCGGCCATTTCTGCCAATCGCAAGCGCGTGCGTGAACTGGAGGCCGAACTGGCGGCGCTCAAGGCGGACAAGGACAGCGGCAAGGGCAACGTGGGGTTGGAGGGAAGCCGATGGGCGGCGGCAGAGGATGGGGCGAACACGAACAAAAGTGACGAGAGTGGTCCGACAGCCGCTGCGGAAGGTGAGGACCTTGGATCATCCATAGAGGGAACGGTGGGAGACCCGTTGTTTACTCGGGGCATCCACCCGGGGTGTCCGTTCCCAGTATTTGACGTGATACTAATGCGGTGGACCTAGATGGCAAGCATTCAGGAACAGCTTAAACATATCCGGACGGCCAACGATGACTGGTACGACGAACACCGCAGGTATGTCCCCCTCCCACATTTTAGCTAGGAAGACATGATCTAATGATGCTTAAGACTCATTGGCGAGCTCACTCAGCTATCGCGACGCACAACGCCGGACCGTCGGAGCCAGGCATCGACGCCTCAGCTGGAACGACTGAGCAGTTTTGAGAGCCGCAGTGGGGAGTGATCGTCCTGAGTGAGCGAGAGGACGGGAGAGAGTGATTTCGGAAGGACTATTTCCTTTGTATTGATTGGTTGATTGTACGTATGTAATACGATGCTCAGGATACCCTGTTCATACTTGATGCGAGCAGATGAAGAAGAGTAGTGTCTAAATTTATTATTATTATTATTATTATTGTTATTGTTATGATTCTAATGCGCAAGATGATTCGGCGGATTGGGTATCATGATAAGCCAATGTAAGCCAATTCCCAGAGTCAACAGCTGAGCCAATGCCTGAGCCACCACCACCAAAGTTAAAAAGGTGCGTCAGCGAGACTCTCGTTGACGAATGCAAGTGAACCACGACCATAACCGGCGTTCGCGCAGCCGTTTCCTGGCTCGTTTCTTGTCGCTGGCCGCGCGGCGCATCTCCACGTACAGCGACGGTGTGAGGATGTGAGGCGGCGGCGATAGCTCTAGTTCTAGTTTGGTGTCGGGTGCGGGTATAGCTTCGGGTGCTGGTTCGGGTTCTTCCTCGGCGGGTAGGGCCCGTATCTCCCGTTTCTCATCAAGCACACCTCCCTCATCCTCGGGATGTCCATGTGCATGCATGGAATCCTCGGAAATCATCGTCAGATCCGCCTCGCCGTCCATCATCCACGTCCTGCGTTTCTGGTGGTAGAGGTGCTCGCCCGCGGACGTGAAAGCCCGACAATACGCCGCGTAGGATTCGGAGAGATTGCGCTCGGCCTCGTATTCCTGTATCTTGCGGTTGCGGTTGCGGCCATGCTCACGGTTGAGGGTAAGGTCGGACATGATTTTTTGGGCGTCATAGTCGGTGTAGTTTCCATCTTGAGTCCGAGCGTGAGTGTGGTTGTGGTTGTTATCGTAGGTGGCGTTTAATCCCTGCTTGGAGATACGGCGCGAGAGCCAGACTGATAAGCGGCGGAGAGGGAGGGATTTGCGCCTGGTGAGGGTTGTTTGGTGTTGGTGGTCGGTGTAGAGGAGGAGAGAGGAGGCTGTTGAGGAGGTGATGGACGAGGTGTCTGGGAGGAGGATTTCGGGCATTTTCTTTTATTATTTCTGTTTCTGTCTTATCTTTTGACTGAGGGTATAGACTAGGCATGTATATATATAGAAGCCTAGTAGGACTGTAGGGGTAGGAAATGAGATGAGAATGAATGAGAGAGTCAAAGGTGCTCAACAATAGGCATTAGTATGCTGCTATTATTCTCAGTCCATGGTCTAAGGTGTTGATAGAGTAATAATAATATAATAATATATTAATTTGAGCGAACCGAGGAGGATATGAATGGGATGGGGATGGACAGGCACATGCTATCTATATAGTAGTGGTACGGAGTACAGGGGACAGATATAGCTGCATGAACTCCTAACTAACGGTCAACCAACAGCTGCGCGAGGCCAGTGGCTTGTGTAGCGCCTTGGAGGAATGAACCACGGACCATTGAGAATAGTTTTTCTGGGCAATAGCAGCTAGTGGGATCCTTATCCAGGAATACGGTGGATCCTATCGTGTGAGACCGGAGACGGAGTGATAAAACCTGTCCAGTCGCTGTCGAGCACTAATCTATCGCTAGACTCACTGTCTCGCCATTTCAGGTCACAGGATCTGTGGTGACTTCGTTGCGGATCACGGTTACACTGCAGCTGCTTCCTCAGTTTGTATTACTTGAGGGATTTATCGTTATCGTCTAATGATATATACATATGTTAGTGTGCATGTACTGGTACATGTACAGGTACGGAGTAGTACTATGTCTATCCAGATACACCGTCTCTTCCCAATCCCCATCTACCCACCTCCCGCATCGCCTCATCTCCTCCCTCGACCAGCCGTCCGTCTGAATTCGACTCATTCGCACTGCCAAGCGCTCCTGCGACGCACTCCCATCCGCTGCGTCCGCCTCCCCACCGCAACACCTCGTTCTTGTAACGCTCGCCCGCCGCCCGGTCAACCGCGTGCTGGCCCGCCCCGAACACATCGACCCAGAGTTTGTTGGCGATCGCCCGGTCGAAGATGTAGCTGTAGTACGTGGCCCCGTAGCCGTAGAGATGCCCGAAGAATCCTTGCCAGGAGGTCGGCGGCGTCACATCCACGGGCTCCGGCAGGCTCGAGTGCTGCTGCGAGACCTGCTGATAGAGGGCTGTGCTGTCGATGCGGCCGCCGTCCGCTGGCCGCGAGTGGTACGCCTGGTCGACCAGCGCCATCAGGATCTGCGCCTCGTTCTCGACCGCTCCGTAGATCGACCCGTGCGCCGTGCGGTCACGCTCCATGCTCCGAATCATCCCCTCCGACAGCGGCTCGTCCGTCCGCCAGTGCCGCGCATACAGCGCCAGCACCGCCGGCGCCGTCGCGAAGTGCTCCATCAGCACTGACGGCAGTTCCGCAAAGTCTGTGGCGCACCGCGTCCCCGAGATCGATTGCAGCCGCGTCTGGCCCAGGACCGAGTGCACGGCGTGGCCCATCTCGTGGAACAGTGTGCGCACGCTGTGCTCGCTCAGCAGCGACGGACGGCCCCCGCCGTTCGCCCCGGGCTCCGGGAAATCGCACACCAGCGCGATCGTCGGCAGCTGCCGCAGCGTCTTGGTGGTCGGGTCCACCGCCGTCGCCATCCCGTCGTTCGGGTGCGACGACTGGTCCAGCGAGGCGCATTCGGCTACTTCCTCCGCTGAGATCTCGCGCGAGCAGCGCAACGTAAAATGAGCCGGGTTCGGGTGCTTGTTGGGTCGTGAGAACAGATCGCAGTAGATGACCGCAATGTGTCGGCCCGCCTCGTCCACCACATCCAGCCGTCGTACGTCCGGGTTCCAGGTCTCCCCCGGAGCGGGCTCCTGGGGCACCAGCCGCACGCCGTACAACCGGTCAAACAGTCGCGACAGACCCTGCATGACGGTCCCCAGCGAGAAAAACTCGGGAACTGCACTCAGCTCGCGGGACCGCCGCGCTTGCGAATACTGCATCACTCGTTGGTGAACGTAATACGCGTGATCCCAGGGCTGCAGCGGGCCGCCCTTCATGGCTTGTAGCTGCAACAGTTCCTCCCGGACCAACGTCCGATTGCTATCCACGAGGGCTGTCAAGAAATTCGAGACCGCCTCAGGACTCTTGGCCATCTTGTCGCTGAGGGTCATGTGCGCAAAACTCTCGTGGCCTGACAGCTTCGCCAGCTCCGCTCGTTTGAGGAGCAACTCCTCCAGCCGATGGAGCTGTCGCTTGCTCGACGTCCGGCTGGCCAGATAAACCTCCCGGCGCACGTTCTCGTCATGCACCGACCGCAGCGCCAGCCGCGGGATCATCCCCGTCGTCGGAACCGCCGCCGTCCGATTCCACCGCTTGATCTGCTGCACCAGGATCGGATCCAATCCCCGCAGATTGTTAGTAGCAACACTGACGTGCGACTTGGCCGGCTCGGCGCCATTGACGAAACTTGAGCCCAGCTGGCTGATATCGTTGGACAGGTTCACAAACCGCTGTCGTTCGTGCGGCGGCATGTGAATCGCCGAGTTGGAGAAATCCTTGATCAGAATCTGCGCCACGATCTTCTCCTCTTCCGACCACTGCGATGTCACCTCGCTGTTCGCCGCCGCCTTTTTCAGCTGGTCGTTGAGCCCCGTCGTCGTGTTGAGCACATTCATGTACTCGAACATGAGCGCGTACGCCTGCGTCGCGGCCTCCTGCACCTGTGGGTCGGGATGAATCACTCGGATGAAATCAGACAGATCGATCACGCGACACAACAGGTCGCTCAGCCGGTCCAGATCCCGCGCCATAGTCCGGTATTCTTCGAGGGTCGAGGCCGCCAGCACCTTGGACACGATCGCCTGGCATTTCTGCAGCGATACGTTGGCGAACGTCCGGAAGCCATCCGGACTCGTCAGATATTGGTTCTGGACTAATCCCGTCGGTTTGGGTTGTGCCGACCGTTGCTGCGAGAACTCGCGCCAGAACTGCTGGGAATCGAACATTCGGCGAAGCGTATCATCGTCGACGGTTTTTGCTCGAGAGTAATCTGCCGGAACTGAATCTAGCTGTCGAGGGAACGGTGATGCTGCCGTCTCAAAGGAGCGACGAGTCTGGTGCTGGACTAGCTGTAGGCGTTGTAGGCACTTTCGGCATGTCCATGGCCTACGCCGTAGAGGCACCAGGAGTTGGTCTTTCATGGCGAGTAGACCGGGCAGAAATCCTGTCAATTATCATCGATAGACGATTATCAAATTATTCACAGAAGAGAAACCTGTCTAGTAGACATATCTGAGGAGAAAGAAGGTTGGACGAGCAGACAGACGGACGATGACGGAGAGGATCGGGCCAGCCGAACAGCCGCGAAAAGAAAAAGGCTTGGCAGCTCCAACGTCAACCTCGATACTTCACTGTTCACCATCACCACCACTCTCTTTCTCCCCTTGTATTCTTCCCCCACCATTGGCATTGATTGACCTCTTTCCGTCAGGATGTCATTCCGGCCAATGTTCCAGCAGGTGAGTTCCTCTTTCCCGTTTCTCATGTGCTACTTGCTAACTGGTCCAGCGAGCTGTTGCTCCAATCGCAGCCACCCTTCTGGCTGGAGGCGTAGCCCTGTATCCCAGGCGGACCGCATACGCCGAAGAGCCTCTGGACAACGTATGTTCCTGGCCATTCTGATACCCGGAGACGCTTCCAGATCGTCGACATGACTAACGTCTACAGAAAAAACCCATCTATGATGACTTCTCCGCCGACATCCCCGAACCCACCAGGGCCCCATCGAGCTCCCTCCCACCCGCAGACAAACTCCCCTTCTTCCTCCTCCTCGCCTACCCCGACCGACATCCTGACGGCCCAAGTCCGCCAGGCCCGTCTCTTCCTCTACAACCACTCCCTCGCCGCCGAGAACAGCTTCAACGACTTCCTCTCCCGCGCCCTGCACATCGAGAACGCCTTCACCAACACCGTCGCCTCGCTGGCCCCCTCGCCCGAATCTGGCGAGCGCCTCCTCCCCGGCGGCGTCTACGTCGTCGTCGCTGCCATGGCTGGCTCCATCGTCTCCCGGAACCGTGGCATCTTCCTCCGCTCACTCTCGCCGCTGGCCTTTGGTACTGTCGCTGCGTGGACCTTGCTTCCGGTGACGATGCGCAATGTCTCCGACTTGGTATGGGAGTATGAGAAGAAGGTACCTGTCGTGGCTGAGCAGCATCTGGCTCTCCGTGAGAGGGCGGAGTACCTGTGGTACACAGGTGTGGCGCACAGCGGCATGGCCCGGCAGATGATGGAGGAGAAGATCGGAGAGACGAGGAAGAAGTTGGAGGAGTTGGTGAGCAAGGGACATTAACCTCTGTACTTTATTGTTTCTCCTTGGCAACGATCAGCTTGCCTGTGCTGTATACGGGCTGAGGGTGCTCACAACCCTCATTGCATTGTACTCTTAGCCGTCTCTAGATCTGAAAGATTCGCGGTTCTGTTTTCTGTCATTGCACAGATCTTGTTAATTACTAGCCGGATGATTACTGGATTATTCTAAATGTGGTATAATTGACAGCTAGCCCTCTTGACCCTCGGCCGGCGCCGGACTACCAACAGGAGGCGACGCAACTCCGGCCTTGGGCGGCGGAGGCAAGGGAGTCCCTTTCCGGGACGGGATATAATCCTGCTCCTTGCTCTTCTGCTCCCCCTCGGCAAAGTACTCATCGAACGCCAGGCTGGGCGAGACGCCCATATGACGTGTCCGGCCGCCCCGCCGCGTTGCCGGGGTCCGGTCATTCGACGGCGACGCCGATGATAGGGCCCTGTTGGGAGCAGATAACGCCGGAGGCGAGACCATGTTCGCTGGCACCAGGAAGCTTCCCGCGCCGGCGTCTGCCGTCTGGCCAGCACCCGTGGCATGCGTCATCGGCGCAGAGGTGCCATCCTCTCTTGTCTCGAAGACGACCTCGCCTGGGCCCTCGACCTCCTCGCCTAGGCCGACAGGTAACCGGTGCAGCGCCCCGTAGCCTAGTTCTGCGCCGAGCGCGCCTTCGCCGCCCCAGCCCCGGGTCGGGACCAGCTCCACCTCTCTTACCACGTCGAATTCGCTGTTGTATACCCAGAGCACCAGTGTCCGGTTCAGGTGGTCTTCCACCAACTCTCCTAGCGCCGCATCGCCACGTAATGTCCCGCTGGGCGTCCCGATAATGTAGTCTGAGTGCGGAAGGAGCCCAGCGCGGTAGGCCGGGCTAAGCGGGGATGGAATGGACAGTACATGCCAGATATGTTGTGTCGAGGAAAGGGGGGCTAGTTGTAAGGCGAGACCGAGTGTGGGATCCGAGGCGGGTACTGGTATAGAGACGGTGTGTGTTTTTTGGCCCTGTGTCAGTTAGTACAGTCTCTAGTAGTGAAAGTCGAATCTATGCGAACCTTTGCGCTCCAGATCTCGAATGTGACGCTTGTCCCTGCGCAGTTGCGCACTTCGGTTGCGAAGAGGTTCGGGTCGGGATCCTCCTGTAGCCGCTCGGTTAGCTCAGTCGCGGATGACAAATGCCGATATACACACAATAGTATGCCCGTTGATTCCAACAATGAAATCAAACCAGGGCTCTAGAGGTAGCTCGGGGTCTTTGTTGCGGAGGACCTGGAAGCCAAATGCGTTGTCTCCGGTGGGAGTCCGCGGGTGCTGGACGGGCTCCGCGTCCAGTCGTCCGATGAATCTGTTCAGCGCTCCAAACATGGCTCCGCTTCTGTATTTGCTGGTCTGCAGAGAAGGAGGAGGATTGAGAGTTGATAACCAGCTGCCCAAGATGATGCTGGTGGTGGAGAGCTGTCTTGTCCGGTGGTCTGCAAACAAAACAAACACCGTCCGATCAGGAACACCTTTATCGGTTATCGATAGATCTGCAAGTTATCACCGTTTCTTGATGGATGAGAATCTGAACATGGGAGTACACGCACTGTCGCTCATTTGTTCTACCTAAAATGGCGAGCAATTCTACGGATGAAGCTCCGCCCGAGGTTCATCACTACAATTACATTGGTGAAGTGCCGTGGGATATTCAGAAGTATGCAGTACTGACTGATCCTCGGCCATTGTCCTCTGCTGACTTTCTAGTTACTGGGCGCAACGATACAAGATATTCTCGAGATACGATGAAGGCGTCTGGCTGACCGACGATGCCTGGTTTGGAGTGACACCAGAACCCGTCGCCAAGTTCGTCCCTGCTGAAGCTTGCTCATGCTACTACTAAACCCCATCAGCAAGATAGCAGAAGATATCGCCCGAGCAGCACCCGCAGGATGCAGTATCCTAGTAGACGCTTTTGCCGGCGCAGGTGGGAATACGATCGCGTTCGCCCGAACAGGCAAATGGAAACGAGTCTATGCTATCGAGAAGAACCCCACCGTCTTGCAGTGTGCCAAACACAATGCCCAGGTCTACGGCGTGGCGGACAAGATCACATGGTTTGAGGGTGATTGTTTCTCTATTCTCAAGAATCAACTCAAGGAACTCGCGCCTTATAGCGTGATCTTTGCGAGTCCCCCATGGGGTGGTATGTCTTTGCCTTCTACTTCGCCGGTCAGGCCAACAGCTGTCTAACCCGTCCTGTAGGCCCTGGGTATCGTTCGGATGAAGTGTTCGATCTACGGACCATGGAACCGTACTCCCTCAAGACGCTCTACACCGAGTACTCCCTATTCACAAAACACATCGTTCTCTATCTCCCTCGAACGTCGGACGTGAGGCAGCTGGCGAAACTAGTCAAAGACGGCGAAAAAGCTCCCGTGGTACATTACTGCATGGAAGGAGCCAGTAAAGCATTGTGTATATACTATGGTGGCTTTGATCTTTGACGTTCTCCCACTTGTTCTCGGGACCTGTACCTTTATCTGAATGCTCATCCTGCCGAACTATGCGGTGGATGGAAAACTGAACTCAACCCACAATGCTGTCGTCGCTGTGACTGCTGTACACAATAGCAAACCACTAATTGATTCTGAAGTCAAATATAAACCACTGTTCATTGCCTATTCCAAGTATTCTGTAGTTGAGGGTGGATGTCGACGTGAATGAGGCCTGGCGAGCTGATTGCCTGGTTAGGACTAGCGCCGTCCGACCTCCATCGTGCCTCTCGTGATTCCCGCCGCAGTCCATTTCATATCTCTCCCAGTCAACACTATCCCATCGTTTACACCTCACTTTACTGACACAGGTCGACTGCGACTCCTTCCGCCGGTAGAGCAGGTCTCAGTACCTACGAGGCGCTACTCTCACTTTCTCGAGTCCTCGTTTGTTTCTATCGGCCTGTGTCTCAGTCTTCCACCGACACCGCACCTACTGAATTTCCCTCAGAAGATACGCTCTCTCTCCACACCTCAAAATGCCTCATGCAACGGGGCCGGGCCCCGGCGAGCCCGATGATGCCGACTTTGACAATGTAATGCGCCAGATGAATGGACCTTTTGGGGAAGGCGGCATGTCGTTCGATTTCTTGGCGAGAGAGTTAGAACCGGGCGAAAAAGCAGACGACGCGATCGATTACGAAGATATCGACGATGATGATCTTCCCGAAGAAGAAGAACGAACGGGCGAACTTGCCGCAGAGGATGTAGCGGCGGTTGCGGACGATGAGGAAAAGGGTTTGTTCGAAGCGGAGGATGACCTCTTTGGGGATCGCGAGGACCAGCAGGCCCCGGGGGGCGATGAGCTTGACGATCTCTTTGGCGAGGGACCATCCTCGCCTGGACCAGCACAGATGGATACCACTCGAGATCTGTTTTTCGAGGAAGAGGAGGAGACCAAGCCACCCGTCCCAGTCCAGCCTGCCGAACCGCTCGCCCCGGAACCGGAGCCGATGACGATGGAGGAGGATGAAGATGAACCCTTTGAGGATGATGGGACTGTAACTCCTACTGCGGAGGGCATGGATCCTGCGGCTCTCCGGGCATGGAAACTCCAGCAGGCTTTGTTTGCTATGTCGGCATACGGTCCGGATAACCCGCCGGCACCTCCGGAGAACGTCGAGGAACTATTACACTCTTTGTTCCCCAAATTCGATCGCAAAGCTCTCCCTCGCTTTCTCGAACTCATCCCTCACAAGAAGGCTTTCTTCCTCGGCAAGCAGCCACCGAAACCTCCCAAGCCCGTTCTGCCGAGCAAATTACATATCGAACTGTCGCAAGATCAGGAGAGAATTTTCAAGGCAGGGGGTCAGTCGCATAAGCGGTCTCTGGATTCGGAGCATCTAGGAATAGTCACCATCGCCGAGGTTGCCCAGGAGGAAGAGGAGCCGGTCGAATCCAGGGACGAGGCTGACCACGACACCGATGCTGACGAAGTTCTGCCTGGTGGCGTCACATTGCAGGATCTCCGTGTCGTGTGCTCTGACTGGGACATCAAGGATGATATCTCCATTATGGACATTGACGAAGAGCCTGCCAAGGACGCGGTGGAGTCTGCTGACGAGGAGGACTGGCTTGCGGAGACCACCCGTCCGGCAAAGAAGCGCAAGCTCGGTAGAGATCCCATGGACGTGATTGCGCTCTCTCACATCGACCTCCCTCTGCTTGATGACCCTGAGCAAGCTACCATGCGGATCGCTAAGAAGGTGACAATCGACATGAACGACCCCTTCATCCTTCTCGATGAGCGCGGTCCCGAGGCCGTTGCCCCGAAACCCAAGGCTTTGGGCGATCTCAATCGGGAAGAAATGGATGTCAATGTCACCCGGCGTCTCTCATCGCGTTACAACATTTCCAACGATCAGGCATACGATATGCTCAAGCAGAATCATCAGAACAAAATTCGCAGCACCCTTGGCAATGTCACTCTCGAACACAGTATGCCCGCCCTTCGTTTGCAGTGGCCCTACTACAAGACGGAGCTGGCCAAAGCCGAAGCCAGATCTTTCCATCGTCCGGCCATGTCCTTCCGGCCTGGTCAGACCTGTTGGTTCAAAAATCCCGCGTACATCAAGCGCAAGCATCAAAAGGGCAAGGACGCCAAGACTCTGTACGACTCGACCAAGGCTTTGTCTATGGCCGACAACTCCAACGTGCTGTTGGTGGAGTACTCCGAAGAGAGTCCCTTCATGCTCTCCAATTTCGGCATGTCCAATCGATTTATCAACTACTATCGCAGAAAGAGCATGGAAGACTCTACTCGTCCAAAAGCCGAGATAGGCGAGACGGTCGTCCTCCTCCCTCAGGACAAGAGTCCCTTCTCCATCTTTGGTCATGTTGATCCCGGAGAGATCACACCGACTATCTCCAACTCCATGTATCGCGCACCTCTTTTCCAACATCAACCAAGATCTACGGATTTCCTTGTTGTACGCAACAGCACCGGCACCGGCGGCAGTGACTACTATCTGCGGAACATTGAGCATCTCTACGTCGCGGGACAGCAGTTCCCCTCCGTTGATGTCCCTGGCCCACATTCACGGAAGGTCACCACTGTTGCAAAGAATCGCATGAAGATGCTTGTGTATCGACTGCTCAAGAAGAGTCCGGATTTGAGGCTGTCGATAAGCGACGTCACTGCCCATATACCAGGCACAAGCGACATGCAGAACCGTCAGAAAGTAAAGGACTTTCTTCAGCACGACAAGGACTCAAAGTACTGGGTGCCCTTGGAGCCAGTTCCCGAGTCTGATACAATCCGCTCATGGGTCCAACCAGAGGATGTCTGTCTCCTTGAAGCCATGCAGGTCGGTCAGCAGCACCTCCATGATACGGGCTACGGAAATGACGCGGAGACTGGAGGGGACGAGGATGAGGACGCCGAGGGCGAAAGCTTTGAGCAACAGATGGCACCCTGGAAGGCAACCCGCAACTTCCTCCTAGCATCTCAGGGCAAGGCAATGCTGAAACTACATGGAGAGGGTGATCCTACCGGCCGTGGCGAAGGCTTCAGTTTCATCAAGACCTCCATGAAGGGAGGGTTCAAGGCCATTGGAGAGAGTGTGGAAGACAAGTTGGATGCTCAGCGATTGAAGGAACTGGGCGGCCACAGCTACAATGTCGCGAGACAACAAAAATCGTACGAGACATCCATACGCCGAATCTGGGACGCCCAGAAGGCCAGTCTGTCCTCAACGGTGGAACACTCCGACGACGAAAGCGACATTGATCGCGAAATGGAAGAGGAGTTCAGCAAACCAACACCGCGCTCGGAAGCGCCGACCCCCGCGCCCAACCGTCGCGATGACGAAACTACCAGTCAGTTCAGCAAGATCAGCATGGCAGACCAGAAAGGCAAGGTCTTGCGTATCGTTCGGCAGTTCAGGGGTGATAGGGGCGAAATCGTCCAGAAAGAGACGACCGTGTGGGATCCGCGTGTCATTCGACACTACATGCAGCATCGTCATAAGATGGAAGCTCTGACCACCAAGTACGCTTCCCCCATTCTTCCCTTACCCTCCATATTATACTAATGAACACAATCTAGACTCGAATCCCTCCAACCAACCGGCGATCCCGAGATTGACGCTCGCAATAAGAAGCTGTACGTCCCGTCCTCCCATACCCCTTTTCATCCACTAAGTAGACTAACTTGCTGTCTTCCCCTACAGCCTCGAAAACGAACTCAGCCGTCTGAACCGCAACAAGGAACGCCGCTTCGCGCGCGAGAAGCAAAAGGGCGCCTTCAAGTCCTCGACAGGCGACTCCCCGGCCGACGGTGGCAAGGCACCTGGAACCCAGCGCAAATGTGCCAACTGCGGCCAAGTCGGTCATATCAAGACTAACAAGAAGTGCGTTCCCTATCTCCATCTTTACCTTATATGTAGTGGGTTAACTAACAGGATGCAGGCTCTGTCCCCTGCTGAACGGGACTATGAAACCCGAAGACCGCGTCAGTGACTCGGCGTTCGCCATGGGTGCTCCTCCTGCCATTTGATGTCGCACTGATATCGAACTCACGCTATTTTCCTTTCTTTCGGTAAACAAATTGTCTCATGATACCCCTAAGGATCGGTTGCCTTGTATCTGCCATTTTTCTTTACATTGCATCAAACAAACATCTTTTTTCCACTTTACACAGAGAAGTTATGCATGATGATTGCGCTCCACGTTTGTCTGGGCATAAAAATTCTCTAAATACCTTGGGTTTGGAGCATTGTTGGGTGGCTGGTTGTATGGTCCCTTATGGTAGCATGGTTCAACGTTCTACATCTACCTTGCAGTCACGTTCTTCTGATCGTGTATTACTCAAATGACAATTACTTCGCGTTCTCGTCATATGGAGAGTTCTGCGGCACTTTGATAGAGTCCGCTCAGTAGAATATGAAAACGCGGATGCAAGCCCATACGATTTCTGGCGCTCAGTTTGCCACTATATATAAATGTAGGTAAGGATACAGGAGCCCTTGATTAGAGTTCACATGAGCTTGACTGCAGCTGAAACCCGCTCTTCGACAATCGAATAAGCTGATCCCTCGCCACCAAGGGCTGTGAGCACGTCAATATCCATACAATTCCGACAAGTGTCCCCGTCTAAACATTGATCGCCCCCGTTCAGGAACCAGTGCCAGTGCAACTGCATTTGGCCGCCGGTATGTGTAGCCCAGAAATGCACCTCGCTTGCGGATGTCGAGCACTGTTTTACCAACTCTCGGGTCGCGCAGTAACTTGTCTCGTGGTCTTCTCCGCTTGTGTTTGTCCTTCTTACGGTGCTTGTTCTTCTTTGCAGGCTCAGGACTGTCCTTCTTGTCTGGCTGACTGCCTTTTTGTTGCGATTGCGCCTTTTCGGGACCTGGTTCGTGTGTGTGACCTCCATCGACCTCATCTTGCCCTTGGTTTTCCTCCGAGGTAAGAGAAACGTCATCGTTCCCCAGGGAGTCTTCATTGTCATCGAAATAGCGAGTATCTTCCCAGCCATCTACTTTGGGAGTGAACGGCGGTTCCGTCAGATGATGTGTACGCCAGCTGATGCCATGGAAGAAGGGATGTGCCTTGATATCCCCGGCATCGTCCGCGTATACGTAGAAGCCTTGGTAGTTCCGGTTGCGGCTATCATCAAAAAGGGTGGAACGCCTTAGGTTGGGCGGCAAAATCAATGATTCATTGACCTTGTACTTGCTCGAGGATAGGCGGTACTCCTTATCCTGAAGTAGCCGATTGATGAGGTCGATTGCCTCCGTGGATACCATCAGGTCGGCAGGTCTCTCAGCAGGGAAAAACAATGTTTGTACATGGTGCTTGCTAACTGTCAGCTCATGGACGCTCTCCCTTGACTATCTGATGTGTCTGAGTGACTCACATGGATCTTCCACTTGGTCTCCTGCCGGTCCATGGAGGCAAACGGGGTGAATCCATAGAGGCACTGTTCAGCGTGCATTAGAAGCAGTCTTGACCCTAACTTGGACTGATGTACCTCGTATATTATGATGCCTACACTCCACCAGTCACATCGCCCGTCGTACGCTTCCCCCGGATGATTTCCGGTGCCATATACTGGCTGGTGCCAACGATGCTGCGGGCAAATCGGCGCTTCTGGTTATTGTCACGCCAGTCTAATACATTGATTGATGGTGGATTGCGATCGGGTTTGAGCTCATTGTGAGTCTTTGCCGCATCTGTTGACTTGTGTTCCTCCCTGTCTTCTCTGTCGCCGTCAATCTGAATTCCAAGCTTTTCAAGCAAGGAGTATCGGTGCTCGTTGTAATAGGCTTGATCATGCGCCCAGTGACCGTCAAAAGCTAGACCAAAGTCAGAGATTTTCATATGACCAGAGGCTGAGATCAAGAAGTTGTCTGGCTTCACATCCCGGTGAATCCATCGAAGCTTGTGAGCCTCCTCGACACAGAGTATCATTTCGGCAGCATACCACCTCGTGAAGTGCTCTGGCAGAATGTTTTTTCGCATCAACAGGCCAAGGAAATCCCCTCCCACCATGTAATCCATTACCAAGTAGAGATAATTGTGATCCTGGAAGCTTGCAATCAAGGGAACTACCCAGCGAGATTTCGCCGAAGCAACGAGGAAGTCTCTCTCTGCCCGCAAATGACCCTCTTGACAGTTGCGTATCATCACCGATTTCCGTATCACTTTCATGGCGAAGACATCTTTCGTCGCACGGGTCATGGGACGTCGATGATCACGTTCGGCTCCACTAAGAGCTGACCGCAGGGAATTAAAGCGATCTTTTCTGAAGGAAGATGATGAACCTTCACTGACGCGATAGCCCGAACCATCTTTGGGTCTTTTCTCCTTTACCAGACGGACTACGCCAAAGCTTCCTCGACCAAGAACTTTGACCATTTCGTAGCCAGCCAGGGCAACGGTCTCATTGCGGCGGGTGCGGTGAGGGCGAGACTTCAGTAGACGGTATTGGCGTAGATGTTCTCTTTCTTGATCAAGCCAATTTTTTGTTGCTCTGGCCTTCTCTTCTGGTGTGAGTGGGGATTTATGGATGCATCTTTCGAGCTCGATTCGACGTTCCAAGCGCGGATCGCCGCTGTGAAAGATGGTATTGAAATATGTTTCGAAGAATATTTTTGCGTTTGCAGCCGCCTCCACGGTGTAAATAGATGGTGTAACGTTCGGCGACTCTTGAATCGGAGTCAGGTTTCTGGGAGGTCCCTGGTCTGGGAGGGCTAGGCGCTGATGTTTCTGAGCGACGTTCTGCGACGATTGTTTCCAGCCGTCTGCAAAGGAAGACGGTTCTTCGGAGGTTGGAGGAGTAGAGTTTGTGCTCATGGGTGAGCCGCTGTCGCAGGGAGAAGTTGACGGATCGTCGCTATGCCGGGCATCGTCGGCGCCATCACCTTGCTTGCTGAGGGGCTGTTGCGGAGACACGAAGTGAACTGCTGAAATTTGCGGTCGTGATCGCAGATGTGAGCGGCGGATGACCGTTGGATATCCAAATGCGGTTGAGAGTTTGTATGCAACGATATCAGTCAAGACGGCCGAAGTTGAGTTGGTGCGACGAGTATCAAAGGTGGGACGATGGGTCGAATCGACAACATCAGTCTTCAGAAGGCGCGGTTGAAAGTCTGTGCCTTCTGCGACGTTCTGGCATGTATGGATCCGGTCTTTGGATGAGTCGAGCAAAGTGCTAGACCTGCTCTGGGCTGAAATTCCCGCAGTACGAACGCAAGGACACTCCCTAGATTGTGTGCTGCGGCAACTGTAAACGTCTTTGGTTGCGCATGAACCAGAGGAGTGAGAGGATTCAGCAGGATTAGTTGGATGGATGAAAGTCTCCTCTTCCCTGAGCTGAGCTTTTCCAGCTGATTTCTCTATTAGCCAGTCTCTAATCGTTTATGCCGAAGCAACGTACCGTTGGATGAGTTGCGAAGACCTAATAACGATAGGAGCTTGGAACTGTTGCGCTTGAGACGCGCGCTGATGCTACCCCTGCTGATTTGCTCAGCTGCTGAAGGAGGGGATACCTCTTCGGAGACTCTCTGATCATGCGAAGACAGACAAGAACTGACACCGCGTTCAACCGCGTCGTTAACTGCTTGACCGCCGCCAGCTTCCTCTGAACTGGGCTGGTGTGCCATCCTCTCCACAGGCAACCTCTGAGCCTTTAGTTGAGAGCGAAAGACATGTATACGACGCTATAGACAATACCAGCCTCGAACGAATAAGGATAGTACTGCCGGTATAATGAGTGAAGGAATGTATAAAGACCCGATAAACCATGCAGGCTATCAAACGGGGACGCTGTGGTGTTGAGAAGTTGAAGTTGACAGAGAGGATGGATAGGAGAGGGGAGCTTATTGAGGTGAAATAAGAGGAAAGAACGACTGTGGTAGGCAAGACTACGAAGGGGAGGGCAAAGGGCCAAGGGAAACCGCGTCTTTGGCCGATAATCTGACGTTAAGTAACTACAGAGGGTTAGTAGAAGGACTCAAGAGACATAAGATCCAAATCTATCATGGAGTTATACAGCAAGTCGAGGCACACTTGTATAGATGAGCAAGAGATTTGGACTCCATGCAATATCCTCATCCCTGCTAGATGCATGGCGTAGCTGTGCAGTAGAAAAAACAAGTCGGATATCACAGGAATTCAGAATTCAAACAAAACCCCTGAAACACCTTTTTGGACAATGAAACAAAAGACAATATATGAAACAGTGAGATGCCAATGTGGACAGATGGTGACACTGAACATGAAAAATAGAACGTCACAGGACACAAGCAGGCAACAGAGCTGCTTATTTGATCTCAAGGAGCTTAACGTCGAAGATCAGCTTCGAGTTGGCAGGAATGCCGGGAAGAGCCTTCTTGCCGTAGGCCAGGTGAGAAGGAATCGTGATCCGACGCTCACCACCGACAGCCATGCCAGCAATACCAATATCCCAGCCCTTGATGACCTCACCCTTGCCAAGCTTGAATGTGAAAGGCTTGCCCTTCTTGTTGGCTGTTAAGAAGGAAATCCGTTAGCGCTCTGTCCAATATTGTCTATTTGCATAAGGGTAACATACCATCAAAGACCTTGCCGTCCTCAAGCTTGCCGATGTATCTCATGGCAACAGTGTTGCCGGCCTTGGCAGCGGGACCCTTTCCGAGCTTCTTGTCATCGATCTTGACGCCCTTGACCTCCTTGACACCAAGAGTGCCGGTAGTGGTCTCCCCTGGCTTCTGACCGGAAGGAGTAGGGCCCTGCTCAAGGTTCTTCGCGAACTGAACCTTCTTGGCTTCCTTGCCCTCCTTAGCCTCCTTGGCCTCCTTCTTCTCCTCAACAGCGACTGCCTCACCATTGTTCTTCTTCAGCTTCTTCTGCTGCTTCTTGCTCAAAACAGGCTCGCCCTTGTCAGCACCCTTGGCCTTGCCGTCCTTGGCCATGATGTCATCAAGCGCCATCTCCTCGTCGGAGTCAGCGGTGCGCTTGTTCTTGCCCTTGGACTCAACCAGCTTGGGGGCCTCTTCTTCATCACTCTCAATCTCGGTGACTCTGGGGTGAGCCAAGCCATCGAGTTCATCCTCCTCCTCGTCGTCCAAAAGGTCACCCATGTCGACCATGTCATCTTCATCGGGGGAAAGGTCATAGTCGTCCTCGTCATCCTCGTCGTCCTCATCCTCATCATACTCAGATGGGCCCTCCTCAGCAGGAATGACGTAGTTTCCGGTCAGGTAGACGGTGTGTGTTCCAGTGACCTTGAAGAAGACGCGCTCGCCCTCGGCAACAGTGATGTCCAAAGGTTGCTGGCAGTGCTGTTGCGCGACATTAGCATATGCAATCATTGGACTGAAAACGGTTCTATAACATACTCTCTCAGGATCCAAGGTACAGACGACCATCTCGTCAAGCTCCAGTCCTTCATCCGACTCGTCGTCTTCGTCGTCATCCGTAGCAGGGGCCTTGCCCTTGACGAGCTTAGAGATGGCAGCCTTCAAATCAAAGTCTTCATCATCGCCCTCGCTATCCTCGTCCTCGTCCTCGTCCTCGAGCTCCTTGAGAGCGGCAGCCTCCTTGAGTTTACGGGCCTTTTCCTTGTCGCTGGGGCCGCCGTTGACTTCCTCGTCATCAGAATCCTCCTCCGAGTCGTCCTCGTAGTCATCGTCCGATTCATCAATGTCCATGTCTGCGGGAGGGCGAACAAGCTTGAGAGTAGCTCTGGGGCGGGTCTGTCCATCCTCGAACTCGGGAGTCTCATCAGGATCAATGGCAGCCATGCTCACGCGGAACTGTCATCGGCAATTAGAACATTTGCATCCCATCAATCGGATACCATTCAAAGAAATACGAACCGTAGCAGCGGCATCGGGAACCGCAGGAATCAGAAGTCCTCCTGCAGGAACCCTGAGGGCATAGACTGCGACAGGTAGAAGAGCGGACATTTTGATTGAATGCAGATAGCGAAAGAAAGGGCAAATGCAGAGCAAAATATAACGAAGAATCAAGTTAAGAGTAATGAAAGACTGGAAATCCACAAAAGTAGATTAAGATGTGGAATAAGAAGAAAAACGAAAACTTTTGAGATGATATAGAGTCTCCAAGCTTTGGGACCGACTTTTTTCTGCAATGGACCAGCGGTGGAGCCTGAGGTCTCCATTTTTTTTTTTTACTTTTTTTCTTCTTTTCCATGGAAACAATGCATCAGCCAATCATATCGTTCACCGCCTCAGGCTGCTATATTTTCTGCCATCATTCGCCGCCTGAGAGCCATTCCCACCTTGTCACATGACGTCGTGTCAGCCGTTCGCGTTCTCCGCCACTTAACACGAGGAGACATTGTCCTTCTTGTGTCACTAGATGATATCTTCGAGGAAGTGGTATCTGATGATGCTCCTCCTCCTAGCCCACCATGGGCTCTCTTCTTGATGCGAACTCCAGCGCTGTGCGCAAGCGCATCGAAAATCGTGCGTACTACCGCTCCGACGCATTACGTTCCTTACTAACTTTCGATATCTAGATCAGTTTGATGATGAAGAAGGCGAAGAATATGAGGCGTCGAACTTCGGTGGCTTTGGCGACTATATGCGCCGTAAGAAGATCAAGTTGCAGAATCTGGACGCGGAAATACGCTCCTCCTCTCCGGATCGACCGCCCATATTCCGCGGCGTTGTCGCACACGTCAATGGCTACACTCAGCCATCTTTACAAGACCTCCATCGTCTTATAGTAAGCCATGGTGGTGGTTTTCTTCAATATTTGGACGGCAAGACTGTCGCAACCCACATCATTGCCAGCTCTCTCACACCCAAGAAGCGCGAAGAGTTCAAGAGATATCGTATCGTCAAGCCGGCATGGGTGGTTGAAAGCATCAAGGCCGGACGCTTGCTCCCGTGGGACGCATTCAGGGTAGTAGATGAGGGCCATGCTCAGAAGGTTCTCAATTTCGACAACGGCCGACTTCTAAGCCAGGCGAATACACAGCAGTCCGGCTACAGAGATCAGTCAGATTCCAGCTGGTACACATTTCGACTCAAAGGCTTAGAAACGCCCGCCAAAGAGGTTCCTTCTGATACAGAACCTCCTGAGGTTCCTGAACAGACTGAACAGACTGAACAGATTTCTGCGGCTGACGAAGCTACGAAAACGGCCACGCAATCGGACTATGGCGATTTCCCTAGCTTTGCCTCTTCTGACCCGGCTGGAAATATCCCTGACATATCCAGGTCTGAACGAAGCGACTCACCCAAACATTCAGATGCTGAAGATATCGCAGCAGCTGAAGTAGGTCGTAGAATGTCAACAGAATGTCCAGCCGGCGTAGCGAACCCAGATCAGCCGCTTCCTCGTGAATCCGTGCCTGCCAAAACGGAAATGACCCCAGAGGAGTATAATGCACAGCTCTTGGCGGATCCCAGGATGCGCAATTCAAGTGTTGTGAACCCAGAATTTCTTCAGCAGTTCTACCGGGAATCTCGTTTGCATCACCTATCAGCCTGGAAAGCAGAGCTCAAGGCTCAGTTGCAAGCTGCTGCAAAGGAAAAATCTCACTCTCAAGCTGGCCGCAAAAAGCCTGTTCCAGGAGCAAGACGCTATATTCTACATGTGGACTTTGATTCCTTCTTCGCGGCCGTATCGACGCTGAAACACCCAGAGCTCAAAGGCCAACCAGTAGCCATTGCACACGGTACTGGCTCTGGCTCCGAAATTGCCAGCTGCAACTATCCTGCGCGCGCCCGGGGCATCAAGAACGGGATGTGGATGAAGGGTGCTCTACAAGCCTGTCCGGAGCTGAAGGTCTTGCCGTACGATTTTCCTGCTTATGAAGAAGCGAGCAAGAAATTCTATAGTGCTGTCCTCGCGGTCGATGGTGTTGTCCAGAGCGTGAGCATTGACGAAGCCCTTGTTGATATCACAATGCAATGTCTCGAGGCCGGAGGTTCGGACGGGCGAGGGATATCAGAAGGGTCTATCTACCGCGAACAAGCCAGAGCAGATGAGATCGCCCAGAATCTGCGAGAGTCCGTGAAAGCGGCGACTGGCTGTGATGTGTCTGTTGGCATCGGCGGAAATATTTTGATGGCTAAAGTTGCGCTACGAAAGGCAAAGCCCGCTGGCCAATTCCAACTAAAGCCGGACAGTGTATTAGACTTCATTGGAGACCTCACCGTGCAGGATCTACCCGGTGTCGGATATAGTCTTGGCGCGAAGCTGGAGGAGCTTGGTGTTAAATTCGTGAAGGATGTCAGAGACGTCTCTCGTGAGAAACTGATTAACCATCTTGGACCCAAGACCGGTCTCAAAATCTGGGAATACGCTCGTGGTATCGACCGAACGGAAGTCGGTAACGAAGTTCTCAGGAAGTCTGTCTCCGCTGAAGTTAATTGGGGGATTCGCTTTGTGAATCAGACCCAGGCCGAGGACTTTGTGAAATCTTTGTGCGAGGAGTTACACCGCAGACTTGTGGATAACCTGGTCAAAGGCAAACAGCTGACGTTCAAGGTGATGCGAAGATCAGCAGATGCGCCGTTGGAGCCTGTCAAGCACCTTGGCCATGGGAAATGCGATGTTTTCAATAAGAGTGTCGTACTGGGCATAGCGACCAACGCGCCGGAGGTCCTTGCAAAAGAGGCAATCTCCATGCTTCGCAGCTTTGGAATAACACCTGGTGATTTAAGAGGTTTGGGGGTGCAGATGACGAAGCTTGAGCCTCTCAAGTTAGGGGCTACCGACAAACCTGAAGGTAGCCAGCAGCAACTCAAATTTAAGGCGTCCCCAGCGAGGAAAAGTCATGAACAGGTCCGGGATCCTGATGACTTGGACAGCCCGCGCAAAGCCGACGCTGCAGCCGTCAGTCATGGCCCGTCTCTGAATGACGATTCGTACAAGCCTCTGAACATCTCCGGAACTCAATTCATCTTGCCGTCGCAGGCTGACCCGAAGGTCATTGCTGAACTTCCTGGAGACATCCGGTCAAAGCTGATGTCGCAAGGCAAAGAGCGACAGGCATCTCGCTCGACATCGCCTTGCCCACCCGCACGAAGGACACAACCATCCACAGCCACGGCGCTCCCTCCTCAGTCGCAGCTGGACCCAGACACTCTGGCCGCTTTGCCGGAAGATGTTCGTGCTGAGATTTTGGGATACTATGGACAAACCTCAAGCACTCCAGAACCTCAACCAGCCATTTTCTCTGCTCCTAGCTCACGTCCAGCCTCATCCGGCAACCTCGGGATCAAGAAGCCGTCAACCCCGACGAAAAAGCGACGGGGTCGACCCAGCACCAAGGGCACCGGGAACATGACCCTCACGCAGTCCAACTTTGTGGTCGCAAGACCCACGCCAACCACCGTCAGTACCGAGGAGCAAGCATCGTCGCGGCAGCCCTCTCCCTCCCCCTCCCCCGAAATTTCCGCCGAATTCCTCGCAGCACTTCCAGAAGATATCCGCCGCGAAGTCCTCGAAGAGCAGAAACGAGCGCGTAAGCTCCAACGCTCAGGCATGCAACCGCCCGCTCCCCGAAGAGTCGGTCCATCCACCCCTGCGCCCGCAGCACAGGAGAAGCGCCTCCGTCTTCCTCCGCTCCCGGAACGCCCGACGTTCACCTCCAAGAAACTGACAGCTCTATCCGACCTCCGCGACGAGGTCGGCGAATGGCATGCAACCTTCGCGGACGAAGGTCCCTTCAACGAAGACGTTGAGGCGCTCGCTCGGTACCTGAAAAGTGTCGTCGTCGACGAAAAGGATATTGACAAAGCCGTGTCGGTCGTTACCTGGCTAATGTGGCTTGTGGAGGACGCGAAGGCATCACGAGCGAGTGCGTGTCAGGCAGGCAGTTCTCCCGGTACAATTACCTGGGAGAAGGCCATTCGCTCTTTGCAGGAAGGGGTCAGCGAGGGTGTCGAGGAGAGAGGGTTACCGTCTGTTGAGTTCTCTTAGCGTGCATCTTCCCCGCATGTGTATATATCAGAGTTACGATCCATGCGATAATCAGCATAGCGTCTATCTAATTTGGCGATATATAGTTCAATCGAATAGGATAGTCAGCAGATTCAGTGAAGACGCATGCGGAAATGATATTTATATCTAGATCTATGCAGAACGTAAACCAAACTCCTCACCAACATTCCTTGCAAAAATACTCCACAATCTTGCTCACAAGCTCCTGACTCAACGGCCTCGACTCCGTCAACGTACGCGAGACCTCCCTCGCCTTCTCCGTATGCCAGTCCAGCACCCGCCGCGGCTTGTCCGTGTCATACTTGCCCGCGAAGAACTCCACCAGCTTGATAGGTGGATTAACGGCGGGGTCAGGATTCGACTGTCTCAGACGCGCGACCCAAGCACGCTGCTCGAGCACCTCGAACTCGAGGCCCGCGGCGCGCAGATACGGCAGCAGATCCCGGGTCCAGTGGAAGGGGTGCGGGCTGACGATGTTGAAGACCTGTTCTGGCTGGACGACCGGCTCGGAGGACAGGGAGATGTCGACGACGGTACCCGCGACTGTGTCGACGGGGAGCCAGAGCGGGGACTCGTCGAGGGCGGGAGGGCGCCGATGGTCTTTGCGCACTGCAGCATGAGGGGGATAGCTTCTGTGGAGTTCCAGATGCCGTGGGACTGGTCGCCGATGACCTGGCCGATGCGCAGGACGCGCGCGCGCAGGCCGGTCTGCTGCGCGGCGTGGGTGCAGATGTGTTCACTGACGAGCTTGGACTGTGCGTAGCCCATGTCTTGGGCGAAGGTGAGGTTCTTGGGGAGGGATTCGGGGATTTCTGGACCAGCTGTGTTGAAGACGGTGCTGGCGGAGGAGCAGAAGTTAAAGGATGCGGGGGCGGGGCGCTGGGTTTTGAGGCAGAGGTCGATGAGGTGCTTGAGGCCGGCGATGCTGTCTTTTTCGAAGCTGCTTAGCTGCATGTTGAAGTTGACGGACCAGGCACAGTGGATGATGTCGGTGAGTTCTGAGGTCAGGGTGTAGTATGTTGATGATTCGAGGCCGAGAGTGGGTTGCGAGAGATCGGAGGGGAGAGCGACGAGCTTGCTGCGGGCAGTATCAGACATGGCGGCGTAGACATTTCGGGATCGCAGTGATTTGAGCAGTCGGTCGTAGGCCTCGATTGTTGAGCTGGCACGCACAA